GGCCTGCTGCGAAGACATTCACTGAATGTTGACTGTTGTTATTATCAACAGCATGGAAAAGAGGGAAGGCGGGGAGAAAAGGAGCCGCCCCAGGAACCACGGCGGCACGGGGACCAGGACTGCTCTGATCAGTGGTCAACACCACCTGGTATTTTTGCAATCATGCACATTCAGCCTTTGAACCTCACAGAGACCAAAGGGGGAAATAAGACCCAAGGGTGGAAAATGAAAGCAGTCAGTCTGGGCTCACTTTCAGGAGCTCTAACAGCGAGCAGGGTCCATTGTGGAGGTGGTGAGCCCTCCCGCTGCTGGGAGGCCTGAAGAGATGTGATGAGGTTCAGGCCAGTGTGGGTGGGCAGGGACCGATGCTTTCACCTTATGTCTGGACTCAGAGGAGCGGGGACGGGTGGAGGAGCCCTGGTTGGCTGCCCAGTGCTGCACGCTGTCGCTCCCGCCCTCACCTCCACGGGACCTCCCTTCCATGGGTCGGCCGCACTTAAGTTCCAAAGTCTGACCGCAAGCCCAGGCCTCTTCACTGCTCCCTTCTGCCTCTAGACTTATCAGGAAACCAGAGGAAAAATGGATCCAGGTGTTGGTTGCAGCTATCGCTTGTCAAAGGCCTTCTGAGATGACTGACCCACAAGCACTCCAGGTTTCTGCCCCGATGGTTTCAAATCAGTCTTCCATATACACAACCAAAATGTCTTCTTCTTTAAGTCTATTTCTTTGGTTACATGAAGAATTGTCTGTTCATGTAAAAAAAATCCCTAACAGCGTTCATATATTTGCTACTTCACCAACTACTGATTCTAGAAGCCAGAAGCTTCTGAACAGGGTATGCAAGGCAGCAGAGAGGTGCCAGCAGTGTGGGCTCCAGGGTCACTCAGACTCAGGGCCACATGACCAGGCACGCCTACTTCTCCACCAGGTCCTAGGGACCTGCCTTGGTCACAGGGCCCTGGTGAGGTCTCACTGAGACAATGCATTTGGCCTCCGCCCAGCCAGGGGCACATGTAGGTCTCAGACATGCTGCCACCCCATAACTTAAAACTAAAGAGCTGCACCTGGTTGCTCCCGTTGAGTCTCCAACTGCATCCCTCTTCTTGACTATTAAGTAGTTGACACATTACTCAACACTTCAGACTACAGCTGTTAACATCAGGTCCAGAATGAAGATGACATTTGAAGAGACGTGCAGTCACTGTGTAGAGGTCCCAACAAGATGGAATGGCTCTGGCATCATTAATGTGAAGGGAGCACGGAGGGGCTGGGGATGCACACCTTCCCCAAGAGGAGCCCGAGGACTGTGGGGGAAGATCAGGGGAGGAGGAGGAGGAGGAGGAGGAGTGGGCCCCCCGAGGGCCAGGAGGGGCTCAGGAAGATGAATACTAAGCTGTCACAACGGGGGAGCTGGACCCTTGGGTTCCTTGGATTTCTCAAATGCTATGAACTGAAAGCCCTTGGAGCGAGGGGCCTGGTGGAAGCTGGTGCCCTCCTGTTGCACGCGGCCTCATCGGGTGCCTGCCAACTCAGGCAGCCACAGCTTCCAGGTCCACTGCTTGGAAGGCTTCGGCGGTGCATGTGGCTGCCTCCCGCGCTCTCCCAGGAGAGGCTGCCTGACTGAGAGCGGACCCTGTGGTTCCTGCTGTCTGCAGGTGACCCAGGTGCGGCGGAAGCACAGGGTCACTGTGAAATCCCTCTAATCGCCTCGTTAGCCGGGTGGGGATGGGGGTGTGTTTGTTCCACAAGGAGGCAGAGGGCTGGTAATTGCATGGTGTCAGATAGAAAAAATAGTGGTAGAAGCAAAGGCCAAATGTAAAAAGTTGCATGTGCAGAGCTGTAATTAAACCAGAGCCCAGGAAGGCAGGGCCCAGTGTCAGGCGCAGGAGAAGGGAAGGGAGTTACAACTGATCTGCATTGGCTGTGCTGGGAGGGAAAAGGGGCGAGCCCTCCAGAGGGGCCCGGGCCCACCCGGTGTGACCCATCTGGAGCGGCCTGTCAACATGGCGGGTGAACCCAGTGACCCACAAGGAACGCGGCTGACACCCAGCCCGAGTGACCGCTCTGTGCCGGGTGTGCTCCAGATGGGACCCAGCTACCTTCCACAGCACGTTCTTGCCTCTTGTCCAGTCTGGACAAGAGTTTATTCTCCTCAGTACAAATGTCCCAAAGAGATGATGCAGCACGGACGTCAAAGCCACCCACCTTGTCTCCCTCGACAGGCCGGCAGACTATGCTCTTGACTACAATTGCACCATTTACCCAGGTTCTATGTTCAAATATCATTAATTAACCCTTACTCATCTTTAAGCCACAGATACACTGGGCCCTCACTCTCCCCTTGTGCTAAGGAGGACACCCGTCACTTGCCCCGAGGACTACATTCTTTCAGGTTCCCAGGGTTGAACCTGGGCCTAGACTTTTGAGATCTGGTAAAGCTCATGATCACCTGCTTCTCACTCATTATGATGTCAGACTTTACTGACCCACAGTGTCCTAGGTTGGGGCTGGACATCTGCATGTTCATGCAGCTCCCCAGCAGATCCGGAGAGCAGATTCTGCTTCCTGCTCCAGGGAACATGCACATCTGTCGACCCTCCATCCGGGCATTGCTCTAGCCTTGTCCCCATGGGGCGGGGACCCCAATCCTGAGCCTGTTCATCTGCATGTTCTCTGGGCTGACCCCCATGCCTCCACCACCTGCGAGGTCAGAGAAACAGAGCCAGAGGCGTTGTCCTTCTGTGGGACTGGTTTCAGCCCCGAGGAAGGCGACCCCAGGCTGTTCTTAGGACAGACCGACTAACGGAGCAGAGCAGGACGTGCCTGAAAGGCAAGTGGTCCCCGACAGGATTGGCTGTTTGCAGGGTCCACTAAACAACGAAGAGGAATTTACCTTTTCCATGCCAGAAGAATGACTTTTTCTTTCCCTTTATGCTCTTTCTCTCAGAGTTACAGAATGTTTTCAGTTTCTATTAGTCTATTCAAAAATATTTCCTGAGCATCTACTGTGTGCCAGGTCCTATGGATGGCACTGGGGATTCAATGAGAAGAGCCAGACAGGGTTCCACCCTGACTTATATTTGGCCACACATACAAATGACAGAGACATAAATCGCTGTGCCAGCAGAGGGGGTGTGGGGGTGGGTCTGCCAGAGAAGATGACCTTGCAGAAGACATGGAGGCCCAAAGAGGAAGAAGAGCAGGAGAGGCCCAGGCCACAGCATGCTTGGCCCAGGGCCCGGAGGGCAGAATGGGAAGAATGGGGGGCCAGCTGAGGTGAGGTCAGTGAGGCCAGGCCATGCAGGGCCTTAGAAAGGGGGTCTGCTGGCATCTGTTTCAGGCACTAGCCTGAGACATCACGGAAAGGCGGAAGTCAGAGTGAGAAGGGCAGGGTGCAAGCCTGTCCCACCCTTCATCCCTGCAACTCCGTCCCTTCTGCCAGCTCGTCTTCTCTGACCCACCTGCCTGGGTGGACACCCCCGTCTTCCAATGCTGGCACAGTGTTTTATGCCTGTTTGTACAGGTTTGCAGGGGAGCAGCGTGGCTGCAAGAGACCTGATAGCAGACGGTTCTGGAAGTTCCAAGTGGAGGGGGCAAGAGCTGCCATTCATGAAGACAGGGTTTGGGAAGCTGAGGGACTGATGCAAGGCGGTCAGCGGGATCAGTGGTGCTGACTGGCACTGCAAGATCGAGTTGAGGAGAAGCCCACGTGCAGGCCGGGGATGTGCACGGAGAAGCCCCATGTTCTGAGTGTGGCTTTGTCCAGCCTCTGATCTCATGTTTAGACAATCTGTCTTTTTACAAAATCACTGGCTCAATGGAATCGAGGAAATTTTCACAGTGGGCAAGATTCCAGCTTTGCCTTCAGCTAATTAAGTGATATTAGGGAGGTTGTAAATGCCACATAAAAATTGGCAGGCAAGCCGCTCCTAATGATGAGAATATTGCTTTGCAGGGAGATGCAGCTGCAGCTTCTTAGTGCTGGTCTTGGAGGGAACCAGTTCCATGTGTTCAAGGTTGTTGCTGATAAGAGTTCAAGGGTGCTAAGGGCTGACAGTCAAGTACTTTCACTCTCTCTGTTCCGGGGACATTCCTAAGTACGATGAGGGCCAGGGGAGAGAAAATTTCCTCGTCACTGTGACCTTATCAACAAGTGCTCCCCTGCGCTCACATCACAGACCCTGTGTCCAGAGCCTGAGGCTCAGCATCTGCTTTGATCCTCAGGACAAGTGAGGCTTCGGTGCCCCCACCTGAGAGGCAAAGGCATCGAGCCACAGGAAGGCTGTCACTTGTCCCAGGGCATAAAAAAGGTAAGTGATCAATCCAGAGGCCTGTGTGAATAAAACCTGGACTCTCTGCCACGGTGGGACGCTCCCAAAGTCAGCACATAAGAAACTGGGGAGGGGCAGGGAGATGGCTAAAGGGTCATCAACTTCTTGGACTGGAGCACTGGTCAACACAGTGACCCTTGACTACTTATTTAACAATTACTGAACAAAGAGGGCGAGAATCAGAGAGAGAGGCACAGAAGCCTTCAAAGATGAAAAATACCCTGAAATGGGACAAAATCTCTCATTTGAACCGCAGTGATAAAGCATCTGTGATAAATCACATGAGAAGAGTTGGGTAACTCTGATCTCCAGATGTTTTTCTTATCTCAGAGGACATGCCGTATCTGCAGTGGGGCAAGTGACAGAGGGTGAGGACAGGCGCGCCTTAGGTGTGTGGTGGTTCTGACTCAGATCAGCACCTAGGGGAGCAGCCCCACACCCCCTTTACCACCCATCACAGCCTGCTGAGCACTGGCTGGGCACACCCACATCTAGTCTGTATTAAGGGAGAAGAGGTCCCATTTAGATTGTTTACCTGTTTGATAAAATCAGAAACTACCAGGTACCACTGTAGCTAGGCTGGCTTGAGAAAATTTACACAGGTGAAATAAAATTGTATCTCTTTTATGAATAGTCAAAATTCAGATTTTTGTTCCTCTCCCAATTTTAGAAGGGAGCTGAGACCTGTGGAGCAAAATTACTGAATTCCAGATAAAGAAGATGTCCCAGATGCTTCTAGAAACTAAGAACAACTCAGCAAGACAGGGACAGCAGAAGCCAGGGGTAAGGCCAGTTTCAGGTAGCTACAAACTAAATCATTTGGGGGAAAGTAGTGCCTTTTGTAATTACAGCCCACAATTCCACTGCCATAGGGTGGCTGAAAGCCAGCAGGCCTGCTCTCTCTTTTCACACTGTCACAGTAACACTAAGACCTTAAGGCACATTCCTTTCTCTATTTTTGAACCATCTTCTAGTGCCAGATGAGACTGCAGCCCTCACCGAAAGGTGTGCCTGCTCTTCGTTCCTGGATACGTCCTCCTCCTGTGACTACCCAGACAGACAGACACCCTAGCAAACAACACAACTCTGCCCTCTCACGGCAGACAGCGCTGGGTCTCAGTGTCTCTTGGGAAGAAACAAGGAAATCTAGGAAGTTATGTTACTTGGCTTTGCAGGAACTGCTGAATCTACATGGCTTCAAAACAAGAACCACATTTCAGGGGAGGAAAATGCCATGCTCATGCGGCATGTCACTAGTGGGCCATTCAGTGGCTTATCAAGAGCGCTAGCTCTGTGTTGGCGCACGCACAGGTGTTCGGAGTGGAGTGGGGGCTGTTCTGACAGGCTGGTGTCAGGTGGTAGAAGGGGTTCGGGCTGTGTGCTGGGCAAAGGCACTCAGTGCTCCCTTTCAGAACGGAGGACTGAAGAGGCGGGCAGAGTCCTGGTGATCAAGGCCTCCTTTGGGAAATTCACTATTTTTTTCTCTGAGAAATGGTCAAGTAAAGGAATAAAGGCATACAGATGAGCTAAAGCTCCTTTGTCACTGCAGGGAAATGTCCAGTGGCCTCCTGACCCAGGCTGCCCTTGCTTCACATGTCAACACCAGGCTGAGCTCCTTGTTTGGGAGATGAAAGGTGAGCCAAGATTTTGTTTACAGTCTCATGGACTTGGTTTGCACCTATGAGAAGTGTGCACATGACAGAGAGTTATTCTAGGCAGTAAACACCACAAAATGGAATGCAGAATTTAGAGAATTTAGTGCGTTTACTTTATCTACCCCTACAAAACATACGGAACCCATTCTCTTTCTTGACAGATGGATTTCAGAAGAGACGCCTCAGCTCAGAACAATCACTGTGGCCACAGCATAACCCTCTGCACTTTGTGGGTTTAATGGACTTTTCTCTCCAGTCCTCAAAAAGCAGCAACTGGCATTTGCCTGAGCCTTGACTGAGGTGTGGAAAATCTGTCAAGTTTTCTCTGCCGCTTACCCTAACCACAATTATACGGTCCATATGCAGATTAGCTGCAAAGTCATTCTTCCTGTGGGAGCGACAAGATTTCCAAATAAGAAAAGGTACCCACGGTACCCTCGAGTGCCCATGTGCGTTAGCAAGGCAGGGGTGGGGTGGGAGGGTGTACGGAGCCGGGAGGGAAATGCCTTCCAAAGGGCGTAACAACAGAAAAGGAGCTGTACCAGGGTGGTGACATGGCAAGAACAGAGAGTGGTATTGTCATGGGCAGAGTAATCCTGTGACACACTGCTGTCACTCAGCACCCGGCTCCCTGCTGCGCCAGCCAGACATCAAAGGCTGCCCCATACCATCTTACATGGTCTTTATCGGCTAATCAGCCCATTCTTCCCCTAAATAAAGCCCTGCTAAATCCCCTGCTCACAGGGGCATAGTGGTCCTGGTGCCCATCTGCCCTTGCTTCACATGTCAGCTGAAGCAGGAGGGTCAGCTGAAGCAGGCGGCGGTTCGCTCTCTCCCTAGTGGCTCCTCAAGGTAAGCACAATACTGCTCCAAGTCCCCTCCCAACCGCCTCCCCGCTTCAGTTTTTCAGGACCTGGGTAAGAGCTGAGGACATCCAGGCTGAGAGCGGCTACCTGGATCAACGCTTGCTCATGAAATCCCCAGTCTGCTAACAATAAAATACTGGACTGCATTTGTATGGGGAGAAGAGTAAACAAGACATGTGTCCCTGACCAGTAAGCACCCGGCGGGCCTACTCCTCCTCTTCCAAAGTAGCGAGTACTTCTGGAGCTGGGGACAGGATGGTCAGGCCTCTAGATTAGGAGGTCACTCTCAGTCCTGACTCCAAGCCTCACGGCCTTACACATACTCAAAATCAAAGTTGGTATTCGTAAATTCAAGCTACCCCAAATCCCAAGACAGGACCCTAACTCTGGGAGGTAGGTAGCCTCAATCCTGGCACAGCTGTCACGCCTGGGAGTAGATGCGAGAGGTTTCTCCCTGGGAGGACCCGGCTCTAGAGGGTGGACAGAGAGGTCTCTGGCTGCAGCCCCGCCCAGGACAGGTGGTGGCCAGCAGCAGGCAGTGTTTTGCACCTCAGCGCCCTGGAAGAAACCAGCTAGATGTGTCTCAGTCTAGTCTGGGCACTGGAGAACAGCACATGTGGAGAGGACTTGCCTCACAGAATTACTGGACTATTTACTGTCCCAAATGACAGGTTTTAATATATGAAAAAATCAAGCATCTTTAAAAAATTCCAAAATTGGAATCAGAATCAGGCAAAGTTGTATCCATCATAAAGAGCCTTGTAGATACCAAGTCCCCAGACAGATGAGGTGGACCTGAACTCCTCTGGCTTCCAGCTCTCTGTCCTAAGGCACCTCACCTGCCAGGCCCTTTCTGGTTCACAAGGCATGTTCCCACCTATCACCTAATTTTGCTTCTCAAAACAATCCTGTGAAGTAGTTAAAAATACCGATGTCCTTCTCCCTTCTGAGGAAACCGTGGCTCTGGGAAGTTAAGGGGATACGGTCTGGCGCCCATAAGCTCACATCAGACAGGAGCTGGCATTCTGACTCCAAGAGCAACGGCCACTTCCCTACACTGGGCGGGCCTCCTATGTCATTTCACGCCGGAGAAGCCGGGCTCCAACCAGGCTGATAACGTCCTTAACCTTCTTGGTGATGAGCAGACAGACCTTGTGCTGGAGCGCGTATGGAGTGTGGTGCCGCCCGCAGATGCTCAGTCAGAGCAGGTATAGTCTGGAGTCTGCAAGACGATGGTCCAGAGCATTCAACGGTGCCCCCAAACTTTTGTTCAGTGTATCCTTCCCACCTACACGTTACATAAGCAAAATGGCAATCCATTCCCAAATTCCCTAGAAAAGCAGCTCAGGCTATCTAAGATGCCCGAGTTCCTGCGAGGGGCTGGGTCTGGTACTAAAAGAACACTGGCTTTAAGGAGAGAAAGACCTTTTACAACTGCATTTTGATGCATGGAATCATCTCAGGACCTCCTGAAATTGTGAAGGTGGACACAGAGCCCAGTGCTCACCCGCAGGGTAACGCTCCCCATTCTCCCTCTCCTCTCGCTGGGACCTCTGGACAATTCTGAGCCTGCTTGTCAGGGCAGGGGTCAGGGAGGTGGGGGAAGAGTCTGTGGAGCTTGCTTCTAGCAGTGCTTGGCTGCAGGCACATGTCAGCACCAAGGAGAGCAACACATGCAGAAGGGCAGCTGAAGCCTGCAGGGGACCTGCTATGGCTGGGCTGGTAGTGCGGCCCCTGCCATCTCCCTGGGACAGGGTGTGCCACACCAGGGCTGATGTCAGGGAACAGACCAGAAGTCTCCATCAAGTCCCAGAGGCTTTGCCAGCTGGACCACAGCACATCTGCAGCTCCAAATGCGGCAGGTCCCTGGGTTACTCTACTGGGGCAGTGAGGGCCATCCAACAGATTCGTCCTGCTGCCCCTGCTGCCCCAATAATCCCACTACATCCAGACCCCCCAGGAGATGCCACCCAGTTTCTGCAGGTGCCTTAAAAACATCCAATTAGGTATTTACCCTCTTGTTCCAAGCAGTTATTCTAGTGAGAAGGGCAGATACTTGTAGTAACTTACCACAAAAACCAAGACAGAGGGGTTCACACTGAGCACACAGCAGCCTACCACGTCATCCCACTGCTGCTCACCTGGCACAGCTCTCCACACCCACGTGACTTTCAGCCACTGTCACAGGACAGATTCGGCTCGTCTTACCTTTTCAGGTTTGCCTTCCTCTTCTTTATAGCTGAGACACTAAGATTTTGGGGTGCATCTCTTAGCCCAAAGCTCTTAGCCACGTGCCCGAGGTGGAGCAGTCGGACATGGAAGATGTGCTTCAGCTCCCGGGGGTAGGTTGCGTAGGCTCGGATGAAGGACTGTAGGGCTGAAAGAAAAGGAGGGGGAGAAGGCAGTCAGCAAGGCCTGGACTGCCATGCCTGCCCCAGTCCAGGGGCTGTGCTGCAGTTTATCTTGCCAGGTAACGACGACACACACCAGGACAGTATACCAAACATGAACAACCTAAATCTACACTTGGGTATTTTTTTTTTAATTCCTCAAAAAACAAACAACGAAACAACCTTAGGACATACTATCAGTTGAATATCCTCCCTGCAATTTCAGACTTTACTGTGTAGCTTGCAGTAATCCTGAGAGCAGGGGCCCTGTTTTCCTCTTCATTATGTCTCGGGGCTTTGCACTGTACCTGGCACACAGCAGGCCTTTGATGACCGTTAGCTATATAAATGAATGAAAGGCAGAATGAATGAAGAAACTTCAGTGTATGGTATTTTCTTATGAAAAATGAAATCATTAGACATTTATGTTAGGAAAAAATTTTCCTAATTAAATTTTACTCCTTTTTTTGAATAGCTAATACATGCAAAGGTTACAAAATTCAATGGTGATTGTCATTATGTTTATTATTACTCTGTTATTATTACCACACATGTTGCTTCCCACCTTAAGCTCCACCTCCAGCTGCCTTATCCAGGGGAATCACTGATAACAGTTTTTTGTACACTCAGGAGATTTTAAAACCAAATTCATTCTAAAGTATCCAAGACTGACTGAAATATGCTTCTTACGCATTCACGGAATGCATAACAAAGGAAATAAAGACAGAATCTTTAAAGGGAGAAAGAAAATTTAAGTTTCTAAAATAGTTCACAAAACAGTTCATCCCTTGAGGATTGCCAAGAGTTTAGAGATGTTCACCAGATATTCTATCACGAAAACATCAGTCCTATTTTAACGTTGTGACAGGTCCCATCCTACACCTTGGCACTGGCCAGAGAAACCAGGGCAACCAAGCCAGGCACGGTTCCCAGGAGGGTGGTGTCTTGGCTACACTTTAACTGGGCATTCCTTCAAGGAAAAGTTTGTCCTATACATACCTAGTCCCCTTTGAGTATCTTGCAATAACAAGGAAAACCAAGTATCTGCTCTTTCCTCACGCCAACAGTGGGGTGGGGATTGTTCCGAAAAGCGCTCCCCATCCCCACCCCCATCCCCATCGCCATCCTTGGACTTTCCTTCCAAGCCCTGCTCTTCCGCTGGCCCGGCCAGAGCCCAGCACTGCGCATCTCATGCAAGCAGCCACTAAAGCCAGCCGTTCTTGCCCTCCTTCATTGAGCCACTGGACTGGTAAGTTTGCCCACAGCTTAAATGTAATATCCCGGCAGCACCTGGAGATAGGCGTTTATGAACAGTAATAAAAAGTGTCATTTTAGCAGATCAGCTCCTGGAAGGATCCTGGGAATCCATCAAAGCTCTGTTTACTGAGCAAAGTGAACTCCTTTTCCCAATCGATGAGGAATCGTAACCAAGGCAACTCCTGCACCCCTCTCTTAAATCAGTGCTTACTCCCCTTTTTAATAACTGGGAGACAAGCTTTCTCAAGGAAAAACTTTAACACTTCAAGTGGTCTGGGCTGTCTGGAGGGCTCTGACACCAGGCTTCCAGACACAGAGCTGCGTACTCAAGTCCTCAGAGAGGACGCTATCCAGCCCAAGCGACCCCGGCCCCCTGTGCTACCTCTCATACTTTCCCCGACTCCTACCATTTACTCTGGTCTGAAAACGCAGACTGAAGCCAAGCCAAAGAGTTCAAGCTTTAAAAATCTCAGTCACCCGGCCACTGGCCCAGGCCTCCTCATGCACAGCTCCCTCCTCCTTAGCGGACTGGCCCTGGCTTCTATCTGGTGGGCCCCCCCTTCCTCTCCTCTACCCCAATCCTAAGGGCCGAGGATGAGAGCCTGTCCCAGGGAATGCAGGTGCCCAACGAGCAGCTTTACAGAGGTAACGAGTCAGCCAAGAAATGGCACAAGCGTTTTCTTCCTCCGTAACTGTTCCGGGAGTATTTCGCACTGTGCCCTTTTGCTAAACCTCACTGTCCTCAAGACTGCTCTCACTGGGGACAGTGACAGGTGGCTGCCCTCACATGCTTGCATGGCCTTCTGTGTTTGGACGATTCAGAGAAGCAGGAATTTCAGACACAGCAGCAGCAGCTGTTTGTAGGGCCTTCCAAGGGCCAGGAAGGGACTTACATTGGCAGTGTCGAGAATGTGTAGAAGGAATAGGGGCTACGGGGCCAAGACAAGAGGAAAGGAGAGAAATAATGAAAGCAGACATTTATTTAGGATGATGGATGAAGCTACAACCAATTAGAGAGCCTCCTCTGTAGTCGCCTATTCTGATTTCATAGCCATAAGGTAGGTGTATTAAGGGAAATCTGTTTTAAAATACCCTATGTGGACATTCTGTCCTTTTTCATAACATTGACTTTATTCCTGGACATCTGATCAGGAACAGTGGCATCTTCCGGATGATGCTCAGAAGCCAGGGAAGAGAAAGAGCAAAACTGCAACATGGGAGGCGCAAATCACCCTCGCTGCTCCCTCCCCCCGCCAACAAAAGCACCTGCACCTTCCCATGTGCTCTGGCAACAGGGATAAGCACCCAGAGGAGGCGGAGAGGTGGCGGCTTGTTAGCGAAGTAACGGGCCAAGGACCCAGCCTACCTCCGAGAGGAGAGAGGGATGATGACCTGCCATGGGTAGCAGGGTTTTCCTGACTTGGAGAAGCATCTCTTCCAAGCCAGACAGGACGCCTGTACACGCAGTCCCTGCTCTTCAGGGAGGCCTGAAGACGGACAGGAGCAAACCATGGAAGACTCCATTTTTGAAAATTTTGTTCCAGCTTCTGGAGTTTAAACTTAGGTTACCATAATTTTTACTATTTGAATCTCTACCTAAGAGATGCAAGAAATGAGAGAAAAAAAGGGGCAACTGCCTCTGGAAACTGACACCGATTAAATACTGGTCATTAACATGACTGGGCCAAAATGCAGAAAGAAAACAAATGTATACTTGGCCCAGTTTCCAACTAGTTTTCTGCCATAAAGGTAAAAAACAGCTGCTTTGTTAATTATTCACGAGGTGGGTTACAAAATGTCATAAAAGGAAAGCAAGTCAGTAGTGGGAATTTGCATACATAGATTGAAATGCAAAAGATAGTATCCATTTACGGGAGGAGTGGCTGTCCCCTGGTGAATTTAACACTTTTACGTAGCAATTATGTGAACATTGCCTCCAAGCCTCCAGAACACATGACCCTAAGTAACAAGGGTAGAAAAGAAATAGGGAGCTTCCTGTCTGATGTGGGGTGACTGAGACCCACTACAGGCAGTTTCCACCCAGGCCATCATCAATCTGGTGTGGAAACCAAGTAGCAGATAAGGAAGATGATATATTTATTTCTCCTTGGTACATAAACATGGGGGAGTGGCCCACTCTACCATCCACTAAAAAGAACGGTATCTCTTATTCCTTGGTGTTAGCAAGTTCACCGGTAATGATGATGACAGAGCACAAGCCGCATGCTCTGGGCGTTACTTGCTGTGATTTTAACTCGATGGCTCAGACCAAAACACCTCTGACATCAAAACTAAAGATGATGGTGTGGTTTCATTTCTTTTCATTGCGACTTTGTTATTAACCCTGAAATTTGGCAGCATGACACCTAGTTATGTACCCACAGCAAGCTGAGTTTGCCTGACTTTCAGCAAATGACCAAACGGTGAAGTTACACTGTGCCCAATACTCGGTTCCTCTTGTGAGGCATATGCCAGCACTTCCCTAAAGATGGGTTCCTGGGAAAGCCCTTAGGGATTGCTGAATTCACTTTGGGGACATGCAAGGGCAGGGCACTATTAGAAACCAGTCTAGGAGGACACACGGTTGCTGTGTACAGTGGTTACAGGCTATTGCTGGGATGTCACCTTTCATCCTGTGGTTCTGATTGGCTCCAGTGTGAGGGCAACAGCCAAGGACTGCTGTTAGGACATGCCAGGGTCTGTAATAGGCCCTTGGGAACATCTGCTGACCACCCTGTCTGGCAGCTATTTCCTGCCACCCACAACCACCGGTAGCTGGCTTCCCAGGCCTCACCCAGCCCCCGAGGCTATTCTTGCACAGCACCAGGCGAGTCTTGCAGCCTTGGTTAGACCACACTCAATCTCTGCCCTGAGCCCTCCAATGGCTCCCACTTTCACTCATTTTGGGGTATGGAGGTACCCCAAAGACCTCTCAACAGTCTCCAAGCCCCACCTCCTCCTGGCCACACTGCCCTCCTTGGCCCCTCCACGCCGGGAACGCCCTCTGTCGTTGCCCGGTGGCTGAGCCTCTTCGGGTTTTTGCTCACATGTCACTTTCACAACCCAGCTTGCTCCAATCCTTTACTTGAGATGCACTCTGCCCTATCACCCCTACATCTCCCTACCTGTTCTATTTTTCCCAAGGTTCTTGTCACCTCTTAACAGTCTGATTTATGTTTATTATGCTGTCTGCTCCCCCACTGGGATGTTAAAAGGCAAGGGTTTGTCTGTTTTGTTTGGTCCCTGATGTATCCTAGAACAGTACCCAATTCAATATTTATTAAATGCATGACTTAAAAAATTTCTTCCAATTCATAAAAAGAAGAAAAGAAAGGATGCTATAATATTTGTATACTGGTAAGCCAGCCTGGTGTTCTCAAACCAGCAGGTAACTATCAAAAAGAACTGTGGATCCCCCCTCCATGGACTACATCTCGTCAGCACACGCATGAGACAGTTGCCAGCCAAAATCCACGAAGCTCCACTAGGAAGGACGCTTGGCTCTTCTAGGCTCCCTGCCTGCACGCTCCGTGCTCAGAGTCAACTGGAGTCCATGCCTAATGCCTGGTGATCCCAGGAGCAAATTTATCCTATAAAGGGCCAGAATGTTACATCAATATTAAACTCAGTAAGATGTTAAATTCACCTAACTCTTTTGTAAATGTCCTAGGAGTTGTGTTCTCTGGTCCTTCCTTAGCACTGTCCTTTCTCATTTCTCCTTGTACTTTCAAACTGGAACCGCTCAAGTCTACTATTTCCAGCCCTTACCTGCCTCTCTTATTTCTAACTCTACAACTATTTCCACTGACAGGTCAAATCTCTTCTATCCAGTTTCCAAAGAAAGGGAAAAGCGAGTCCCTAAAATCCAAGCTGCTGGGCCACAGTTCTCATCCTGATGTAAGCCAAGGTAGAGCTTTATTTGTGCACAACACAGGGAAGGATGGAATTAACATTTAATATCACTTTAAAGCCTTCGTGCCTGCTTCCAAACCCTGCAGAATTAGGGAGATTGAAGGCTTTGTTGCTGAGTAGAGATGCCAGGCTGGCCTCTCAGCCTGCCGGGGGTATCCAGGGAAGGGGGTGAGGCTCTGCTGAGCTGTCCATCCAGTCATCTAAGAAGTCCACCAACCTTTCTTTGCCCAGGAGACCCTCCTCTCACTGGAGTGCACGTAATCTTCAAACACTGTCTGCAAGACTGTGGCTCGCTCTCGGATTTCCTGGGGGCCCACGGCACAGGATTTCTGGGAGGGTGACGGAAGGATTAGAGGAGAGACAGTCGGAGTCAGGAATAATGAAGCAGTTTATAATAGATTTAATAACAGTAAAATCACACAGTAACCACCTAGGGGCCAACAGGGTAATCCTTTCAATATTACTAGGGAAGAAAAAGGGAGCTATAAAGATGTTAAAGTCAAGCAAAGACGAGGATGGCTTTGTGAGAGAGCGGATCAGGTCTACTTATTTATTTACTTATTTACTTACTCTTCTTCCTGGCCTCTTATCACTCATGTTCAAAGAAAGCCCAGTGGAGACACTTTGGAATTTTCCAGGTCCCATTCGGACTCTCAAAACATCACTGAACACAAGCAGTTCTCAGCGAGTCGTGCGCCGCCTGCTTAGGCCTAAGTCCCCTCCCTCGCTCCTATACTCACCAGCAAAGCGGGCAATTCCTCTGTAAGAGCATCCCGCAGGGACCTGCCTAGAATCTAGCCTGCCCTTGAATTTCTGAGCATGGACTCTCTTCGTTCCTTGTGAACCTAGAGAAGTTCACACCCCTGGTGTTTCAGATTCGTTCTTTCAGCCAAGAATCACCCTGCGATCTTCCAGGAGCCTGTTAAGGCGTGGGCGGCTCCAGCACTCACATTTGAAGCGGACTGCAAGGACCCTCACAGTAAACTGCCCTGTGCAAGAGATAACATCTGTTTGCACCAAAAGACCCTCCAGTTGGAAAATGTTAAGAAAATAAAAAACGATTTTCTTTTCATCCTTTAAAACAATCTCGGAGAAAAAGATTTCCTTTCTTTAGGTTCTCCTGAAAACGAGTGGTTTTATTTCTCATTCCTTAGAACGAACAGAGATGCCTCCTCTTGAGTGTGAAACTCAAGATCCAGAACACAGATTGTCCACAAGTTTGGCTACTATGCCTCCCCAAGATCTTGACTGTCTGAATGATGCTATTAAGTCTCTACCCACAACAACACTGTCCGTGGAGACACTAGGAGCACAGAGGGGGGAGAAGAAAAAGCCTCACTCTTTTGATTGACACTCATCTCTCTGTATTAATAGAGACTTAACCTGGAAATGTTTTTAGTTTAGTCAGATCATTCCTGCTACCTGTTTGGTTGATGACAGTCTAGTTTATTTCACAGTACATGGTCCCCCAAAGGGCTTTACCCACACATGTGTCAAGAAAAGTCACTCAGGAGCTGTGTCATTTAGGGAAGTGGACATTTGCTATTGTCATTAACAAGGATTTTTTCTTTACCCTCCTAACTGATGTGAAATGCAAACTTTTTTTTTCTGCCCTCCTTTCGTTAAGCTACCTCAGCAGCACAATTGTCACCTTCCTTGTGTTTTTTTTAATATGAATGTGAAATTAGCGAGGATGCCCTTTCCCCTGGCGGACAGAATCCTCTGTTATTAAAAAGTAAAGCACTTTAATAATGAAAACTTTTTCCTCTTTTTCCTGTGTTTTAACTGTTTAAAATTAATGAGAAGGGCAGAATGGTTGTCAAAGCGATATTGAAAGCCGGGCAGCCAGGACCGAATAAGCACAAAAATCCCTCTAGAGTGTTAGATAAACAGAGCTCCAGCCCGCTCGAATCCCTCTGTTGGTTATTGTATACATTCTGTAACAGCTCTCAGAATAGATCTGAGAGCCAGGGAGGCAGAGAGGTTTCAGAATTCCAATAAAGGCCTCAAATTAAAGACAGCCTGGTGCGAATTCCAGGAGAAAATTAAAGAGACCTCAAGCTTAAGTGACAGGTGACTTGCTTCTGTGTCACAACTGTCAGGGGATTTAGTGATAATATGGCAATATATTACAAAGGGCTTTTCTTATTCCCCCCTTTAGGTTTCAAAATGAGGCATCTTTTCTTCCAAACCGAAAAAAAAAAAAAAAAAATTACACATACACACATATATAATATGAGCGTGTATACAAGTGAAATATGAAGAAAAAAAAGGGGATAAAACTAGGTTCACACGTTTGAAAGGATGAGGTCAGTTTCAGTAAAATATAAGAAAAAGTTAATGGCAGAAAACATAATATACTTAGGAAAAAGCATGTCTTTTTCCCCTCACTCCCATTCCCAGAAATACTTCACTTTAAAATTGCCCCTCTTGAGAATGACTGAGATATTTTTCATGTCTTTTGGGGAGGACAGTCTAAATTTAAACTGGAGACGGAGGGGCACAGTTATGCAGCACCATCTCAGCCCCAGACAGCTATGATGCTCCCGTAACAAGGGCGGGTCAAAGCCCGGAGGGCACAGGAACGCCCTGCAGGCCTGGCTTCCCCACCCTCAGAGGCACACACTCAGTACTGGGTAATGAAGCTAACTTACAACTAGTGGGCCATGGGTACTTGAGAAAAATAAATTCCAACAGTCCACACACACTCACTATTCTATTCCTTTGTCTGTGAGACCCTCTGATCTTGGAGAGCACAGATGATCAAACAGGACTCAGCAAAGGGACTACTGGTCTTAGTTTAATATCTCATGATGCCAGTGACAGATTTTTAAGTTTACAGGCATATTTCGTAGAACTAAAAAATTTATGTAAGAAAACATGTTTGGGTGTGTGGATACTTTGAAGATGAAAATTTCATGCCTATCACGAGGCAACAGACGACCTTAAGATATCTAAGCTGGACTATTTTTGTTGTAAAAATGTTTTAGATGCTAGCAACGGTGGGGGAGGGCCATTTTTTTTTTTGGAAGCATGCCTTGATACTAGCGACTTCTAAGGTATTTTTAAACTAAATGGAAGGATTCTGTTTTAATCACTTTATTGCCAAGCAGAGTTTACCCCTACAGTCCCTAGAACCTTCTGAGTGCTTCTCAGTAAAGTTGAAAGATCATTTATTCTCTTTGTAGGTGGGTGAACACACCCGACGTAGCTATATATTTTTTATATACCTAAATATGAAATATACATTTTACAGATGCTTCACTTTCTGCTCACAGAAACCCAAAAATGTATGTGCCAAAGGGACATTTATAATGGACTTCAGCCAGGCTGGGAGAGGAAGGGCATTATAATGAGGTGCCTGGCTATATGTGTAAAGGGCGATCGACTGAGTCTTTGTTTACCTGGTCTTGCACTGGTCCATATACTGGAAAGGACTGTCCAAATTGAGCCTAGCAATCAAGACATTCTATCTATCTTCTCAGGAACAAACAGTAAGTTGTATCCAGCATTTGCTTTATTCTTTTTACTACTCACACGGATCAGGAACTCTCAAGCTGCATATCTACGTGACAATAAGTAAGTCAACCCTAGTAAGGTCATCAATTTACTTTTTCTTTGTCCTTTTGAATTACTGTTAAATTTGGTCACAAAAGTCAGGTTTTCATCGACATGACTTCTGGAACCTAGTATGATTGATTTAATTTGACCAGTTATTTTGATGTCAGTGAAAGTGCAACCTTGCTTAGTGTTTTTTTCTTTTTTTAAACAAAGACCACCACACCTTAAAAGTATCAAAACACTGTCCTCATTCCTATCTGTAAGGCAGGAGCTCAGGGCTGCAGTGAACTTACAGGGCCCAGAAGCGGGCAGGGCACTTTCTGCCTTGTGTCAGCTTCTCCTCACAGCAACCCTAGCAGATGGGCTCTTGTTCTCATTCCACAGATGGGGAAACTGAGGCTGAGGACAAGAGGGTCTGCCCAACATTGCTAACCACCAGTAGTGAAGCAAGGGCTCAAACCCAAGTCCGTCTGACACGATCTCACATCAGCTCCTCACGTCTCAGCGATCTAAGGCTGGCCTCAAGGTGAGGAAAAGGCTTGGAAAGAGGAACTGATGCCACGAGGCCACAGAAGGGCAGATGTTACAAAAGTGGCTGTGCTGGTCCCTGAAAGAGCAGGAGGCAGTGCAGCCGTCTGCTTCTTCCCTGGGGACTGTCCTGCAGGCTCCACACACATCCACTGCTGCCCCAAAGACAAGGCCCAGCCTCCCGGAGAGAACTGAGCTGAGCTCCGGATAAACACCAGCACCAAAGCCGGCCACAGAGACTGTATAAGGGAAGCCGAGGTGGCCTAAACCTCTGCTAACTAATTTTGTGACTTCACTGCTTGCTCTTATTTCTGTAGAGTGGGGCAGGCTGTAATGGTCTATTTATTGTGCTACTGTAAAAGGCGCTGGGCTCCATGTCACTGAGTCTGGCTTACCCCCCCACCTGCTGCTGGCTGACATGGTGGTGACGACGATGGCCAGGAGGACAGCGGCCCCCAGGCCCCATGTAGCTACTCAGGTTACTTCCGACTCCACCCTCCAATCTCCTTACGAGAACACTAGTATTCTCAATTTTACACATGAAGACTGAGGCTTAGGAAGGTCCAGTACTTGTTCAAAGGTGAGTAAGATTAGGAATGTGGCCCTAAGGCCATCTCTTGACCACTCTGCTACACTGCCTGCTTATCCCTACACTGCTGTCGTGGGCTAGAGTGAAGTATCTGTGGGAACATTAAAAAAACCTACCTCGAATTTGCAATAGCTTTAGAGGAACAGAAGTGTGCCAAGACCGATGAGTATCTGTCTGGTTCGTGGCCAGTTCCCTTGAAAACAAACTATTCATATGGGATCCCCAAAAGTCCAGCATGGCTGGGATGTTTTACAATGAAGCCATGCTTTAAAAGACCTGTTTGATCAATTGAATCTTTAACTGCTATTTTTGTTCCCAGAGATCTTTGTTATGGTACTATTTCTTGACCAAATTTCACCTCTATGAAAATGACTACCATTGCCTGATCCAACAAGCAATTTAGCTCCATTTTCTTGGCTTAGGTAATACTAACAGAGGCGCGCTGGTATATGACGTCAGGTGGCCTGCTTTCACACCCCAGGATCAAGGACTGTTCGCTGCCCTTCACCTCTCTGGCCCATTTCCTCGTCTGCAGAGTGGGACACCGATGTCTACCTTCCAGGGCTGCTGGGAGGATGACACAGGACCAAGCACGTCAGAGCTTAGCAGAGTCCTGGGTCCAGAATCCACACCGGGACCATGTCCTTGCCTTTCCCTAGGTGAATTCCCTCAGGTGCGCTCTGGCACCAGAGAGCTTACATCAGGGCCAACTAGAGTCCAGCCTCAGGGAGGATATCAATCCAAATAATGACTCAAACTAACACATAAAAAAAACCCACTGGCCTCATCTATTTGGCTTTGATTTTCCTGTCTGTCCTTAGGCGTAACAAATTGCAAAATAGTCAAGTAATTAGTATGTCATAGATAAAATCACATACAACACACACACACACATGCAACATGCCAAGTGATGTGTTGTAGGGAAAAGAATGCTGGCCAAGGGAAAGTCTCAGAGAAGCAGCTGGAAAGGATGTTTGGGGCTGCCTGCAACCACTCAGGATGTCCGTATGGAACTGCACAGAGAATAAAATTTTTCTTAATGATTTCAGCTTTACTCTCTCTCTGGGTTATAGCACACACATTAAAAAATGAATGAATTGTGTCTGAAAGGAGACACAGGGATATTTTAATTTTCTAGTCTGTCTTGGATGGACAGGTCTGGTCACTTGTCCATACTGACACTTGGAAAGGGACCTCCAGGGCTAAGTGTGTAACGCTGCCTCCAAACGCGTTCTGGCCTGGAATGCGACCTTCTTTCTGGGAAGGCTGCTGCTGCCCAGCCCATTAACTGGACTGAGACCAGCAAACACATCCAGAAGCAAAGAGAAAAAGCACAGTCAAGATTTGGCCTCACCTAATGTTCATGGTTTCTATACACTGTGCTTGATGGAGGAAGTTAACTACCCCATGCATGACATCTCCACTACCCCAAAGCAAGAAATGAGTCACGTTGGTTACTAGGAAGCACATACGCAATACAACTCACCTGGTTTCCCCGGCGCCTCCCTTTGAAACAATCATCCCTTGTCAGGACAGACAAAATATCTTCCACCTTAATCTCAGAAACACTGTAAAGGAAGGGCGTATCAAGGTAAACTTATTTTGTCAAAAACATTCAAAATCATGCATAAAACTGGCCTATTCTCGAGCTAGTTCATTTAAAGTAGAAGATACATCTTCACAGAGAAGAGAGTATTTTTGTAAATTTAGGAATTGGCAAGAGGACCTCTATGATACTCTAGGGACAGATGGAGCAACATTCAAACAATTTCCTTCCTCCTTAATGAATTTGAAATAAGCTACATTTAGAATTTCCTTTATAGGGATCATGTGATTGTTTCTTGTTAAGTCTCAAATACTAAATTAGTAGGCTTTCTTCTTGTTTATTGAATATACTACCTTGACTTGGGCAGAAGATGATAAACATTTCAGATAGTCCCTTTGGTTTTAATAGTCAAAAAAAAAAGGTGGAGCAGGCTAAAGATCCTTAACTTCCCCGTGCAGGGTAAGAGTAACGAGCGCCCCCCCATCTACGCACAGCTCTCTTCCAGTCTCCGCTGAAGGACTTTACCCTCTTGTCTCTTGCTCATTAAGCAGTGAGAGCCACACAATCTCTGTTGAATCTAGAGCTACGTGCAAATGGCTGAAACCAGAGTCGGGGCTTCACCCTCCAACAGAAGCCATCAGGAGCTGGAAGCAGACTGTCCGCCCTGCTGGGCGGTGTCTGGCTCCACCCGCGCTCCCCCTGGGGCTGTGCGGGCAGCGGAGTGGAGTGCGTTAGGGGCTAGGGAGGAATACGGGCAGCCAAAAACACTTCCCCGGGAGAAAGGAACAGGGCAGGAGGCGCTCTGGAGGGAAAAACAGATCTTAAGAAGATAAATGATTTTCCTGTATGTTGTTTTTTTTTTAATGTAACAGTAAATTAAAACATGAACGGCAACCTCGTGAGAGAAGACAATTCCCTCCCTTTCCCCCAAAGGTTGGTCTGACAAAGCTATGAATGAAAATGTCAAGTCTGTGACAGTGATTTACCTGAAATGTGCCACCACTTTCCTGGCGCTCCGGCACCCACCCCTCAGCTTTCTTGTCTGCTGCCAGCCCCAGGATACGTGAATCTTTCTATGGCAGCTAAGAGTCAACTGGAGAAGGCAGAGTATATACTGCGAGCGCAGGAGTTGGGGGGAAAATGCTCAGGACTTCATGGAAAATCCATTTTCATGTGAGAGAGAAATGCTACCGTTACAGAATTTGCCTTATTCATGCCTGGGAATCTGAAAAGAGGTGAAAACAGAGCCCAGTCCTACCTTTCCCTTTGTCTATCTGCCTTGCCTCTATTCATCGCTTTTTTTCTTGTGGGGAAAAAAAAGGAAAACCAGAAAAATCAGAACATGGGTCAAACACTTAAGCGAGGAGAAAGAAAAATGAGTAAGGCCACCGCAACCAGGCATACTCGGAACTGCGGCTGCCATGGAGAGGCGCCGTCCTCTGAGCTGCACGGCAGTGCGACCTCCCAGCCAGCCTGGCTCCTAGGCTGTGTGTGAGTCTGTATGACAGTGTTGGGGCCAATCACCCAAAGCGAACAGGAGCTGGGGAGAACTGGAGTGATTTACAGTTTACAAGGGCACATTCCTCCTAGTCTAAGAAACTGTGGCTTCTGAGAAACAAAGAAAATCTACTCTGCTTATTTATGGTTCTATCAACAGATCTAAATCACCCCTCCTTACTGTGAAAAGAGAGAGAGAGATACATAAATTCAAGGAGTCAGTCTTATGCCTGATCTAAGAAATATACGTTTTGATGAATCATTTACATTTCAATAAACCAATGATGACTTTCATTAGAGACATATTTAAAGAAGTGGGAAAAAGTTAGGAATTCAGGAAGCCAAATGGATCCAGAAACAAAGCTGCACTGAGAGAGGAGCGGCCCGGCCCAGGGCACCCGCCTCCCGCCCTGTCGGGCCGGTCACACTGGCCGGGGGAGTCCTGCGCCCGGCGCTCAGCTCGCACAGGCAGGCGGCGACCTGCTGTGACGGCCGCTGCTGCCGAGACCCTTGGCCTGCGTTCCTGAATCTCCCCTGCGATCCATCAGCCATCGCAGCATCCCGCTGCCTGGCTCTCAGGCACAAAACGTACCCACACACCCTCCTCCTCCTCCTTTTTTTTAGTATTTAGGTATGTACCTTTTGGGTTCAAAAAATGTTCAAATCTGCTTCTTTCCATTGTACACTTTCCAATTCATTCTTGTTAGATTTCATTTTGTATTAAATCAAAAAAGCAACCTATTTACATATATCCGCTATATGGCCCTTCATCCAACAGAAATCAGGCAGTGGGATGTACAGGCTGTGACATATTACTAAGCTCTGCTATTTTTTAAGGTTGACTACATCTGGCCCATGAAGCAGTCGGTGGTTCAGGCTCGGGCACCTCAACAGGTGCATTTTTCAGGGCAGAAACCAGCGAGACTGCAGGCCTGCAGCGCCCCTTCCCCACAGCTAAGTGCTCTCACACTACCCCACCCCTTCTCGCCACTGAGGACCCAAGTCTCTTCTCAGCCCTCACCTGCCCCAAGTCCGAATCGCTGGAAGCATCGTGTTGAACTGCCCACAAATGCTGCAGGTGTGCTATTTTTCCAGCTAAGATCATCACAGAGGATGACTGTACTTCTATCTTTAAAATATACTTGGCTCACTAATAATTCATGTTGGTACTGTTATTTTCCCTTTTGCAACTGAGGTTTACATTTGAACCTTTCACATCAATCAACTTGGATGTGTTCATTAAAGAAAAAATTAAAGAACAGAGCAAGGCAGAGGCACCGTGCTGGTCACTCCAGGCTGGACAATCAACGTGTGACTCCATGACTGCAGCGCCCGCCTTCCTGAGATCACACCAGATGACAGAGCACGGAAGGACTTCCAGGGAGCCGGGGCGGGAAGGAACGGGAGGCTGTGAGCTTGCAGGTCCCGAATGGAAGGTGGAGGGAGCCTGAGACACTGAGAGCCGGAGGGGCACTGATGCCGTTTTCCACTGTGGGACGGAACTACAGTTCTGAAATGCCGTCCAGGGGGACAGAGATCCCTGCAACAGGGAGAGCGGCCCTGGCCTGTGACGACGGCCATCCAGCCTGTGAGGCCAGGAGGCCAGGTTGGTCGGTGGGCTCCCCTTCACCCACAGGGCTTCTAGAGTGCGGCCGCCTGACCGGGGGCCCGCCTAGATGCTGAAAGCACGCAAAGGGAAGAGGCAGCCAGGGTCCAGCCCAGGGAACTCAGGATCTCCAGACGGAGACGAAGCCCTGGTGCTTGATGGACTGATGGGCATGAGATTTCTCTCTCACAACTAAGATAAAATATGCGTGCCTTCCTGAAACAAAAACCACTAAACTGACAAACTGTATTAAGGTGGGGCACATTAAATTGTAAGAAAGCCCAAACCATCTTTATTACTAGATTCATCAGGAGTGGGTCCCTGCTTCCGCCAGCTTTGAAGAGCGTAAGGCACAGGTTCTGAGAAAGCCCCAGTCCATAAATGTTCACACCAGCAACCTCGAGAGAGCGTTAAGTCTGACAAGGGTGAGAGGCAGAGCTCTGCAGGGCAGGATGCGTGGCGGGTGCTGCTGGAGATCGCCATGTGCAGTTCCCTAAGTGGGTGCCCTGCACTTAGTCCCACAGCCCCCCAGACCAGGTCCCCATGCCAACTGCTGGACATTCCAGTTCAGATATAGAATGCAATGACTTTCCCAGCTCTGAACTTTAGGGAAAGAAAGTCTCATCATTTTATTTGATGGATGACATAAAACACAAAGCTGGGCAAAAAAAGCACCAAGAAACATGACCCCCCCCATTCAGCCACACAGCTGACCTGTGTGCCAGCATCATAGCGTCGGTTCTAGGTGGTGTTCGAAGCAGCCATCACTGCTTCTGTGCATGGCCTGTTCGTGTGCCACCATCTAAGGCACACATAATTCTTCTTATGCTTCCAAAAACAGTTTATGCACCATTGTTCTTTGTCTGAGCAGAAGACACTCTTGAAAGTAGATTGGTGTGAAAACTGCGTGCTGTTAAGAGCCCAGTGTCAGAGCTTGAATACTTCAGGTGCCAGAGGTTTTATGGAAATCATGACAAAACAAATTTATTTCCATGGCCGAGGTGAATTCTTTCTGCTTTCCTCATAAGTCCTTCTGGCCAGGTGGAGATATTGTTCTCTATATTTCTTTCTTTGTCTTTCCTGAGTTAAGTTCAGGGTCTGATGGAAGCCCCTGACTGGTAAGCCTCCATGCAGTCAGGCCCATGACCAACGGCAAGAACTTAAGGCTTTACCTGGGGACATAAGGTGCTGTCACTTGACTGGGCACCTACGAGATGGCAGCCAGACAGCCTTGGCTGGAATGTACAGTGTGTATTCAACTGACACTAAATTTCTTCCCTGGGCTTATTTTCCTAGGGGAGGGAGAGTCGTGGGATGAGTAAGAAGTACTACTTTTCTCAAAGACAAATCAACTCTAATGGTACAGAACATTAATTGCAAGAAATAAAAAGTGTGAATAAAAAAGATCTTTAAGAAGCTGGCTGTGAGGGCTGTGCACATTTACAGTAAGAGAAATAAAACAAAGAGTTCTCTCTTAAAGTAAAACGAAGTGCAACAGATAGTTCTCTGACTTAGTCTGGCAACACAATGAGAACTGTCATGTGCTGATGATATTAAGGGCTTCAGTCTCTGCCACCGGCTACTCCGGGGCTCATTCAGGGATCACAAGGGTCAACGGCTCTTCGTCAGCTACAAGGCCCACCCACTGTAAAGCGACAGAAAGTTAATTAGGTGAGATCAGCTGAAACCCTGTTCAGGTTTCTGACTCACTTGATTTTGTGAGAAGCCAACGAGTTGACATATTCTGCCTCCGAAGGAGCCAAAATGAGCAGGCTGCTCCCATGGCAGCCAATCCGGGCGGTTCTCCCGATCCGATGAATGTATTCAGCGGGTGAAGATGGAGCATTGTACTAAAAAAGGTAACAAAAATGAAGGAATTCGCAGATCAAGAGATTGCCATTAATTGGAAGTGCAATACTCCTTACCTGCCTCCAGGTACCCCAAGAATTAAAAGCTGGTGCTATGGTTGCAAAACCTATTGCAATCACAAGAAGTCGCTCAACCCTGAAACTCCTGGCTTCATTGGAAATAACAAGGCTCTGACATGCAAATGTGAACAGTGGCCAAGTTTGAGATAAACGAGATGTCTTCTCATCCCAACATCTCCCTTTTAATTTTACTTCTCCACAGGTCTCTTCATTTCCCTATCTGCATCTTTTCACTGAAGTGACCCTGCAAGGTGAAACGGAGGCAGGTGGGGAAATTGCTGCAGGATGACCACATGACCTTGGCCTACTTCCTCTGTACACAAAGCAGTGGAGACGAGGCCACAAAGGACTGGACAGGACGAGGAGGAAGGGCCCGACCACTCTGATCACAGAGGTCAGCCCTGTGCCGGGCCCCTGCACCCGCCCAGAAGTGGGGCCCCAGCCCTGGGTTGCAGTCCCACTCTGCCCCAATGGAGCGGAGTCTCAGGGCAGTTGGGAAGCAGGTTTCCTCCCTGCAGGGACAGGCTTCTGCTCCCACGGAGAGCATTCTTCACTTGGGGGAAAAGGGCAGACTCCGTAAGACAACAGAATGAATTATGTATAGCATGTCATGTTCTCATGGCAATAACTTTGTCACCATTAAAATGAACTGACCATATATTCATTCTTCCTTTTTTTTCTTTGCTGCTTCACAAATCAAAAATCAGAATGCTATGATGAATGTAATGCAGAGGAGGCCAGGCACATTAAACTAATCAGTATCCACACTATTAGAAGGCTCTAAATGATCAATCTGATGTGTCTGGCATGCCACACATTAAAATTATCCTTGCCTTATCTTTAATTTGCTCTGTTGCTAGCAGGAGAGAAGACACAATGCCTCTAGTTGCAAAGTGATCATCTGCCACGAGATCAAATTTCCTAGCCAATGAAAGGCATGCAATTCCACTAACATGTGAATAAAACCGTGACTCACGTAAACAGGGCATGTGTCCCCTGGCCCCCACACAGAACAGCTTCAAAATACCATTCTGCAGACTAACAAAAAGAAAAAACAAAACTAAAACCGTCAAACTCTAGTGCTAACACCTGTACCCTCTGGCAAAGCGTCTAAGGCTAGAGGTATGTGTAAGATGCTGTCAGGGACTTAATTGCCCCCTGAAGGTCAATGTACACGGACACGGCTCTAAGGACAGCTGAGCCATCTCCTTCTGGACACAATGAGGCCTCCCATGGGCCCAGGTAATTCCTGCTATTTTCAGACTGCTGAAACCTTGGTGTGACATGCGTTAGTCTGGGAGCAGGGGAGCCTGCCCCTCCCTCCCGCAGCCGCACAGTCTGGCTGTTTTGTTGCAGCAGTTAGGTGGGCTGGGTTAAGGAAAGACGTCGGGAGAATTGTGCAGAGAAGGCTGGTTGCTGCCTGGTTACCAGGGCAACACCCAAGAGGGTAATAATAATTATTCCACTTAAAGCCAATGCATCTACTCATGATCATACATTCCAGCCTCGAGCTCGCACCTTAACAACTAAAAAATTACCTGAACAATCCATGTGACTTGAGGGAGATCTAAGCCCCGAGCTGCAACATCCTTCAAAACAGAAAAGAATATGGCTTAGAACTGAGTTTCTGAACCATTCTGGGGTCACGGATCCATTAGATAATGTAATGCAAACCAGTGAGGGCTCACCACACCTCAATGTGCACAGGCATGTACATGTAACATACACACACACCTCAATGTGCACAGGCATGTACACATAACACACGCACATGCACACAAGTGCACACACACATACCCATTTGTATTCAACTTCAAGAACCCACTGAAGACTGTGCTTAAAAATTCTAATTTAGGGCAAGTTCTACAGAAGCCTGCTGGTGTGGCAGTCACAACCCGTTTCAAAAAGAATACAATCTGCAGGTTGGCCCAAGACCTTAAGTCATTACCAGCTGTGTCAGGTAAGAATTCTGAACACTTACTAGCATGTTCTACTACTTTTACATTTTATTTGGAAAACCACTCTACAAGGAATGCAGCCATGGCTTACTATCCCCAACCCATACTTAACAGCAATGCCTCCCAATGATGTGGCTTTGAGGCATGCTTCTAGAAGATCACCCCAAGATATTTCTTAAGGTGAGCTGCAAAGTATTTTCTGGGGACGCTGCTTATTAGCCTCTGAGAGCAGAAAGGATCAAGTAATGCCCCACCTCCTCTGACAGCTAAATTAGAATGCCAGCTGAAGATTTAACCAGACAAAAGAAAACTACAAATGCAACAGAGATTTGCTTTTTCAGCTGGTTCCCACCCCAAAAGCAAAGACTGTCTGCTCTCTAGTCTCTGGCCATTCTGGCAGAAGAGACTAGAAAATGGGCATTCTCTAGCCTCACAATACCCTCACACCCAGCGTTCATCTTCAAGACTACCAGTCACAAAAAGAAACCCACCATTTACTGAGTACTTAGTAAACATCAGACCCTGTGTGCCATTTTGCCTCCATTATCTTGACTGACCTTCAGATCAGTTTTTCTCAAAACATTTATGACTCCCATTTGACAGAGAGGAAACCAGGGTTCAGAGAGACCGAGTCAGTTGTCCAGGGACACACTGCTAAGTGGAGGGAGCCCTCAAACCGGGTCTGCTTTACTTTCTATGGCCCAATGACAGTACACTGTTGCGAAGTCAAAAAGATGCTGCATTCCTCACACGCTGCTGATGGGAATAGCAAAGCAGTACTGACCCTGAGGGTGGAGAATTTGGTAACATCCAGCAAAATTACATATGTACTTGCCCTTTAACCCATATGCAATCTCACACCTAGAAACCCATCTCAACACACTGACAAAAATATAAAATGATATACACAAGGCTATTCATTCCAGCACTATTTGTAATTGCAGGTCTGGACAAAACCACAATGTCTAGCGACAGAGGCAGGTGGAATAAAATATGGCAATACCTACCCAAGTAAGAGTATCATACAGTTAGAAAAGGAATGAAGATTCCCATGTTAATATGGAGAATCTCTAGGATGTATTTTGGGTGCATAAAGTATGCTTTTGTGCAAAAAATGGGGAAATATAAATATATCTGCTCATATTTCAGAAAGGAATGATGGGAAAATCCAAGAGCTTATAAAAACAGTTACCGAAGGGGAGGGAAGAGAATGGGGAGAGGGGACAGGGAAGGAAACTAGACTCCCTTTAATGGACTTTTTAAATTTTGACCCTGAGACCATATAAATGTTTTGACATTAGGTAAGTAGTAAGAAAATGAGCTGTCATGCAGTATCACCTAAGATGTATTCTTGCCAAAAACAAAGCAAGACCCTAGCGCCCAGATGCAATCTCGGACCTAACTACTAGTTTTCCGGAAGTAGGGGGGGAGAGGAACAAGTCGCCACCACCACAGGTGCACAGCCAAAGCCCAGAATGTCTAAAGGACACATGATTTGGTTCCTCCTACCAAAAATATCAGAGGGGAAAAAGGTAACAAAAACAAGGCATTACATGGATAGACGGGTAAATGGGTAGTTGGAGCCACACACCAAGAACCAAACCTGGAAGAAGGTTCATCAAAACTATCAGCTGTGGTCACCTCGGGGCGGAGGGGGCTGGGCTGAGTTTCACTTTTCTCTTTGCATTTTCCTGTGTTGCTTGCTTTGTAATAACGAATGCCTATGATTTCTCCCCAAATTTTCATTTAAATAACCTCCAGGAAATTGGAAGCAAAGTACAATGAGCACCTGTGTATCCTTCACCTGAACCCACTGACGGCTCAGCTTTGGTACGTCGGTTCTCTCTCTATACATGCGTTTTTCTCAGCCATCTGAAAGTAAGTTGCAAATACAACATTTCACCTCTCAATACCTTAACACATGTGTCCTAAGTAAAAGGACATTCTCCTACATAATCATACCTAAAAAACCAATCATCAGTCATACTCAAATTTCTCCAGTCATACCTAAGATGACTTTTATACTTGTTTTTCTTTCACAACCCAGAATTGAATCACAAAGCATACTCTATTTTTATTATATCCCTCTAGACTTCCTTTAATTTAGAATGATAGCCCTGCCCACAATATTTTCTTATTTAGTTTTTTGATAACAATACATTTTGAAGAGTCCAGGTGTCTTGAGGAACTTTCCAGAATCAGGATTTGTCTGTTCTCCATGCTAAGATCTGGGTGAAGCATTCTGGCAGAGACAACAGCGGTGTGGTGCGTACTTCCCGGCCACGATGCCGAGACACACACTACAGCAGTCTGTCCCACACTGGTAGTACTGTGCTCACCCACCTGAGTTAGTGGCGCCCCCCCAGCTCTCTCCATTGTGAAGGGGCCTTTCTTCTTTGAAATTAATAAGTTCACTGGGAAGGGAGAACGTAAGACTGCTTCCCAAAACCCTTTGCCCAGCGATTTCAGCATCTCTGATGCTGCCTGTCTGCAAAATGATGACTTTCTTAGTCCATCATTCCTTCCTTCCAGTTAGTAGCTGGCATTTTTCTGTTAAGAATAGCTCTCCCTCCCCTCCCCTCACTTTCAAGTATCACTAACAATTTATGTGCATAAAGCTCTTTGGAAAATAATTATCCTATGCAGTTTCTCTAAGTAGCATGTTAAAACAATCAGGGTCAGAGGCAAGACCCAAGGAAGATACTGTCTTCCCATCACCCAATTTGCCCAGAAGGCCCAGAGGGCAGGGCAGGATCTGATTATACCTGAGCTTTCTGGTTTCCTTTGCACAGTGGCTAGCTGCATGTATTACGTGTTAAGTGGAAGTTTAGTGTACTAAAAGTGTGTCAACCACCCACAGAGTGTTTCCAGATAGTTCCCACATGCCCTGAAAGCTGAAGGCTGGTGTCCCAGAGCCGACGCCTTTGAGAGCACAGTTCAGAGAGCTCTCCAGCTAAGTAGGAGCAGGAGCTGCTTTCTACGCTAACCGCAGCTGATGGCTTTAGAAAAGCTGACGGGTTCTTAACTCTGCTAAGCTCTTGTTAAGAAATGACTTATTTTATTTAAGTGCCCTGCAGTGGCAGAGGCGTGTACACGATGGGCTGCCTGAGCTTTACAGACAGGCTTTGTAAAAAATTTAATGCTTGTTGGCTTAGTAAATTCAACCAAGAACATAGAAAAACTCTGAAATAGCACATAGCACATGGTGTTGCTGAAACCCCCGAATACAAACACACTGGAAAGTGAGTTAGTTAGGAAGGTGCCAGGCGGCTGTCACTGGGACTGCTCAAGGTTCTCTTTCCCACCTGGGCGATCTAGCTCAGGGCCGCGGAGCTCCCACTCCCAGTACCTCCTGTGCCGGCATGGGGGGCCTCACCGACAGCTAAGCACCACCTGCACTTAACCCAGCTGTTTCTGTGACGCTTCTATCTCTTCCCAGCCTAGGCTGCCACAGAGGACGGGAAGCGGGAGCAGTCCTCCTGCTCCAGAATCAGAGACCTGGGCTCTAGCACCACTTCAGTAGTGTACAAGCCAGGTCAGCTCTCTGAGCCTCAGTTTACCCACCTATAAAATGGCTGAAGACCCATCCTATTTACACCATGGGGTCTTGTGAAGATCAAATAAGACCATGTATGTGAAAGGTGTTTTGAGAATCATACATCTATTTCATTTCATGGTAAAGTTAAGACTTAATATGGTGGCAATCAGGCGGTGATTTAGAAGCCTCTTCAACTTGGCAAAGGCTTTGGTTCTCTGCCACTGTCAGAACTTAGATCCAGCCCAACTGTACTCTAACCTAATTAGGGCAAAAGAATTGCTAAAGTCAGTTCTGAAAGACACTCAATGGTGAGGCCTTGCACGCCCTGGGCTTGACAATTGGCTGCCTCCATGAGACCAACGGGTACAGATGGAAGGCAGCTTGCTCAGGTGCCAGCCTGTCAGTTGGATTAAAATGACTCATTTATTTACCCAAGAACCTCACAAAGTGCTTTTACTAACGGAGAGGGAGCCTGCCGGCTCTCGGAGCAAGGGACACAGCAAATTCGCCTCTGCTGCCTTCCCGGCCTGCCAAGAGTCATTATTGCCGTGTGTGGAAAGCCATCAGCGGGGTGCAGGCCCCCGTTGTCCGGGTGACAGATTGGGCTGCGTAATCAGAGGAGGAAGGAAAGAGCGCAGAAGCCGTCAGAGGCAAGAGATCTTGGCTGGAGTCACCAAAAACCTGGCAACATGAGTTAGCGTAACTGAGTAAACAGCCAGCTATCTCCAAATGATCCTGCCGTTAACACAAATGAAAGAAAGTGGCAAAAATAAACTGTACCTAAAAAACACACCCCAGAGAAAACCAAGAAAGCCTACATTTATCTTGGTAGTAAACTGACATTCTTGTGACTCTTACAGCCTCGACTCCTTTGTCTCCTGCCTCCTGGCGCAATGGAAATTCCCCAGGAGGAAAAGAAATGAAGAACCGTACAGACATAACAGCGTGCTTCAAGGGAAAAAGGAGAAGGTGGAGGAAGGCGGCGCAGGGCACCCAGGCATCTTGTGAGAAAGCAAGCATGTGCTGGACAACCACAGTGCACGCCGGCAGCGACGAGCCAGCAGACCCGTCCAGAGAGGCTGGAAGTGCCTCTCCTTGTTGGGGAAAAGGTGACTGTCCTCCTTTATCCAGGGACACCCAGAGAGCTCCATGTGCACCAACAGAAGGCCTAGTGTCGGCCCTCAAGCCGGAGGTGGCTAGGAAGTACCATTCTCCGGCACATTTCTCTCTACCGGTTCACCAGGGAAACAATGGCATTAAAAACCGCGTTCCCTCCCTTTGGCTTAGGGTAAGTCCTCTACCATAAGCATGAGGAGGCATTCTGCTGATGATCTTGATTCCTTAATTCCATTTGGGAAAGTGGGCTTTGAACTTACAAGTAACTTTCTTTTAACTTGGCTGCTTCTTAGATCTTCTAGAGGACACAAGCTTACATTTCAAACATGTAGAGACCAGTCTTTCGCAAGCGGGTCCCTCCTGCCCCAACTACCCTCTCACCTTTGCCTAGACTCCATATCATCATTGTCACATGTTTACTGAGAACCCACAGACCATGTACCAGGCCCTGAACGACTGCATGAAATTAGCAAAATCCAAGCTTTTAAGATGTTAATAATCCAGAAGAAAGAAAATACACACATACACCCTTACTGTTCCCAATAACAAAAAAGAGAGAAGGTAGGAAAGAGAGAAGGTGGAGGGTGAAGTTTCCTAGAAGTACAAGAAATAGCATAAGAGAGCTTCTGTGTGGTCACACCCCAATTCCCAACTTTTCATACAGACATTCAGTCTTCTGGCTCATTCAAAGATCTTGGGGTGATAGATTGAAGTGGCAAAAGCAATGTTATGAAGGGGAAAAAAACCCCACATAACATGATTCCTCTTTACCAAAAGAAGCCAGTTCCCATCAGCCTGTCCTGATGTGGCCCCCGTTCTTCACGGGCACTAAGAAGCCTCCTGAAGAGCAGTCAGAGGGCTGGCAAGCAACAGGCTCTTTAAAAGGACGCAGAGTAACTGTACCCCCAGCCAAGTGTGACCCAGCACAGCCTGTCTCATGCGCCCCACCTCTCTCAGACACCAGGCTAAAGCAAACAAATATGGCAGAGTAGAAGGAACTGAGAGTGGATGAAGACCTTCTCATCGCTGCCTGTGCTCGAATCCTGGCTTAGAAATGGAGGGAATGAGCCTCCACCCCACTCTCCTCCGGGCACGATCACTGCAGAGTAATGCAGAGACCGCCAGCGGAGGGTCGGTGTACTGGAGGCAACCTGAACAAGTAAGCAAACAGGCAACACAGGACTTTACGAAGAGAAATCAGGTTGTGCCAAGTCAGAGCCTGCTTCCCATGCATACCCAGACTGGCAGGGGCCCATTGGGGTGCCATGCTTTGCTAAGCCAATGGCACTCTGTCTACTGACATCGCTCGCCCGCAGTTATCAGCCAGGCAGAACAACGGAAGTCATCATATGCTTTTGACCCCACTGAGAATTACATTTCAGAAAGAATGATCTTTACTTCCATGTGGAGCTACTAAAAAAACCAAAACCAAAACAAACTGAGAAACTGAACTTCAAACACCTGGAGTTTCCTTCTGCCTCTGACCGGACCCTTGTCTGTAAAACACAGCAGGGTGTGTGGAAGGAGGCTCGACAAGTTCCCACCAGGGACAAGGCGAGCATCTTCAGGGCCAAAGATAAACATGTTGTCCCTATCCTAACTCAAACGCCAACACAAAGGTTCCTCCTGCCTTCCGTTCCAATAGACACGTGGTGACATTCACCCCTCAGGCAACACCATTTTCACAGAAAACTAACTCATTTCCAATAAGCAAGTATTTTAGTCTTAGCCTCTCTCACCAGAGCAGGCCATCTGGTGGGAAGACCCCTAGACAGGGTGTGATGAGTGGCACAGAGAAATGCAGGGCACACTGGGACTGCTCAACAGGGAAGGGCTAGGGCTCCAGGGATTGCTTTCCTGAAAAAGTGAAATGAAGCTGAGAGCCGAAAAGCATTTACAGGGCCGGTGTCCCAGGCACAGGGAACCCATACATCAAAGCTTCAAGGCCAGAAAAAGCAGGAATGATGCAGTCAGGAACTGAAAGACCTGTATAGCGGAAGGGTTGGGAGAGAGGGGGACGTGGAGACAGAGGGCACAGGAAGGAGTCAGGTTCCAGAAAGTATTACTAGGCATAAATTTTTGATGAGTTCCTTTATCAAGTAGATTATTTGGATCCATTTTCACTTTAGACCCAGCCTTTAAAGATGGTTTTAGAGCAAACATGAGCTATCTGATGTGTGGCAGGCTTCCTCAAGGGAAGGGCTCCTTGGTCAGACTCAGACCTTCTTAGGAGGCAAGATTCTGTGGCAACTGTTCTCAGATCGGTATGTCCTGCGTCAGCGGAACCCCTGTTCACCACACACATGAGAACTGGCACACTGTGATATGCAGGTGACCGGGAAGGCTATCTTGACCCACGAGAAACAAAGCTGCACTCACTCATAAGCTCTAGATTTAGAAAGAAAATCTCTGTTACCTTTAAAACTGAGCGTAGAGTAGGAGTTACTTACAAAACAATTGTATTAAATAAGGCCTAGACAGGATTCAACTAGCGAACTGTCTTTGTTTCCACCAGCACTCAATTTACAGTGCAATTTCATGACTGTATATACAGGGATTTCTCAAATAACCAGTTGGGGACTCAGTTATATCATCCAAACTACAGGGAAAGTATTTTCATCTTGGGGGGTAAGCAACAACCATGTTGGAGTGGATCCCCAGAGATGGGGAGACAGTGAAGGCGTGTTTTCCATCTCGAAAGAGCATGAGAGATGTGCATTAAAAAGGTCAGCACTGTGCTGCACGAGGCAGCTATCCAAGACTGCAAAGATGGAGGCTGAGTGAACTGGCCCCTGAAAATTGGAGGGCAAATGATAGTTTTAGACAATAGCAAATAAAATCTGTCCAAGCACATCTATTTTCCTTTAAGAAAAGGTGAGCAGAGGCAAGTCACATGATTTTGTCATGGAAAGACTTTCTCGGCTCTAATTACTCCCGATAGCTGTAATTTACAAGTTTTTGGTGGAGAGAAATTGCCAAGATTCACACGTTTTCAGAGCAACAGCTGCCGCTATTAGTGAGCAAATCACCAAGCCTTCTGCATGGTGGCGGTCAGCGATCTGAGGTGTAGTCAGCTGACAAACCAGCAGTGCAGAGACCAGCCACCCCAAGAGGCCCCTGGTATTCCCGCTCTTTGCACCTTTTGTCAAGAGACGAAAAATTGCCACTAGCACCACAGGAAATTTCAACATTCACGTGGAGTCTGGAATGGTACGTACCGTGCAAAGAAGGACACCTGCTGTGGAATGTGAGAATTCTTGAAACACTGCTGTTCTTTCCTACAAAAACAAGGAAAAGCAAGGCCTTACAACTCAGAGACCAATGCCAGCAAGGCAGGCTTAGTTTCCCATAACCTTCCCAGTTTCCTATGCGGTGGCTCTTTAGGCACAGACGCTTTACCAAGAAAGAGGAAGAAGGGGGGATGCTTCCCATCTTCTCGTAAGACCCTGTGCGTACAGGACGGGATTTCCCAGGCTCCAGCAGAGAGGCAGAGCTTTGAGGGCTGCACCTTCCAGTGCGACAATGCCAGGGCGGCAGCCCCTTCAGCAGCGGCCAAGGCCAAGCAGGCAAAGCCAAAGGCCACAGGTCCCTGCAATCAGGGTCCCCTGTACAGGGTTTATTCTTAGTACATTTCCTACGGTGGTTCAGAGGAATGAAGAACAACCAACTTTCACCACAGGGCAAATTCTTAAAAAACTAATTAAAAAAAAAAGATTTTAAAATTATAAAAGCCATATATTTTAAGTCATAAGAAGAAAATTAAATCATCCTACCACCCAAAGCAAACCACCACTGGCAACACCTTGGTGTTTCCCAAGCCTCCTTCCATGCAAAACCTAACCAAATCTGTAACTTTTTAAAAAACGGCATCATCCCACTTTTACACCACTAGCATGCTCTTACCATATATCAAAAGAACTGAACGTGTTTTTATGCCAAGAAATATCCAAAGCCACAATGTGTCTCATGACTGTATAGTATCCAGCTGAACGGGAGCCCCTCATATATGCCCAGAGCACCGTCGTTAGCAAGGGAGGTTGTCCGCAACTGTTTACTACCACAAACAATGCCGGGAAAACGGCTCTGCAGGTAAGTCGTGTATACATGCTTGATCATTCCCTTGGGGTAAACTCCTAAGGGCAGACTTGTGGGACCAAAAGAGAGCATACACTAAGAGCTTCTCAGCAAGAGGCTGAAAGGGCATGCCCAGTGGGTGTTCAAGTCACACGGTTCCATGCATGTCCATCTGTCAGCAACAACAAAAAGGGAAATATAACCAAATTACTAAAAATCTGGAAAACAGAAAAAAGCGAAGTCTCTCCTCCCACTCCGGCACAGCCACTTTGCCACGGAGGTGCACCTCATTCCAGTCTTTCGCCATGCGTGGATTCTGACACGTAACTGGGAGGGGGCCCAAGGGCCACATCACTCATATAGCAAATAATGACAGCCAGCATGCCCTGAACAGTACTGCGCCCACCACTGGCCTTTGCTGTATGCATCTGAACTTACCCAATCCCTGTGACAACCCTACGAGGAGATACTAGCACCAGCTCCGTTTCCAAATGGAAACACGGGGGCAGAGGCTAAGCAACCTGCCCCCAGGACACACACACAGCTAGTACAGGTTGGACTGCACCAGGCCCAGGAGCTGTGCTCCAGAGTTGGAGCTCAGACCCCCACAAGGACAGCTGTATTTGCCCATTTGCTGCATGGGCTGTCCCGGGGCATTTCGAATGGCTGCGCCGTAGATGCGAAATCATAAAGGTTCATAAAAGCCTGTGAAGCATCCCGACGCCTGCACACACTGGGCGCAGATCTGGGCTGAGGAAGTCTATCACACGCTTGAGCTTTTGTCACAACCACCACGTGGCAACTCCTTCCAACAGTCCCGCCTCCTAACGCTCCTAAACTTGGTTAGAGCTGTGTGGGTCACGTACAGAGACCACACCATGGTCGTGTGGAGCAGTGGCCGGGGTAACAAGGCAGCTGTGACTGGGACTCTTTAGTCTGATCTGAGACAAGACACTGCACCTCAGTGTTCATAAATCAAAATGCAGAAACTGTCCCATCTCTCTTCTACCCATCTCAAGGGAAGGCTGTAAAGGCTAAATCCTTAATAAACAAAGTAACACAGCAAAATACTAACAATTACAAAATTATACAAAAAATCTAATTATTCCTGAAAGAAAAAGAGGGACAGTAATAACAGCACCTCCTCTTTCCAGATCACTTCCTATGTGCCAGGCCCGGACTAAGCAGCTTAACTGCGTTAGTTCAGTCAATCATCACAAAGCCCTGTGAGGTAAGTTCTGTTATTATCTCCTTTTAGAGACACAGAAACTGCGGCACAAGAAAGTTAAATGTCCTCTTCCTGAGGTCACACAGCCAGGACATGGCAGAGCAAGGACCAGAACACAGCAGTCTGTCCCACAACACACGGCTATGAACATCCTGCTAGACTGTTGCCTGCTACAATGTGAGATAAGCAGTTGGAAAGAATTTAACTACAGAATCTTTTGTGTGATCCATCTAAATTCCTAGATCCCCCTGAGTTCACATCCAGCCCCCTCCTCACCCCCCGGCCTGCCCGGCAGAATGCCTGATGGAAAAAGTCCTAGAGGCTCAGTAAACTAAGGCTAAAAAAACCAACCACCACAAATTGTATTACATCATGAGCTCAACAAAAAACTGACTAAGGGATCCTAAAAGTAAAAACCAAGAGTTTATGCATTTCACAAAGGCTGCAGTAGTCACGAAATTCTATATAAACTTGTAAATAAGCTGTGTCCTTGAGTGACCTTGAGCAAGTTCACTTGTTTGAGCCTCCACTTCCTAACTTACTAAAACAAAAAAGCAGGAACAGAAGAGGGCTGGCCTTGATTTTTAATGCCTCTTTCGGCTCTACAATGTTGTGATTTTTTTCCACCAGGTCCAATCAAATCTTATTCTGACTTCTGGTTTTTCCCCACTCCTTCCAGTCTCCTCAGCTGCCCAGCAACCACTCCCCCAAGATGCTCCTGTTCCCAAGCCCTTCACAGTTCCCGTGAGTGTACCTCATCCTATTCTCCACCCGGACGCCCTGACCAGATGGCCAGTGCCTGGGAGTAGAATCACACTTCTGCAGCTCAGTTCCTAAAATAAGGAAAATGTTCTACTCTTCTCCCTGAACAAAAACATTACTCAGAGCTGAGACGGAACTGAGATCCCCGGCCCCTGACGCACAGCACCCTCTCCCAACCCAAAATGTCCAGAGCAAAGCGCTGCATCTTGTTGACAATGACAGCAGTCCTGCTCAGCAGTACCATCTGGGGTCCACAATTTAGCTCCATTAATGCTCTTAATTTGAAGACATCGAGCCCTAATTACACACTGGGTACTAAAAGGCAAACCCATCCCTGGTGCCAGCTACTTAGTGGTACTCTGTTGCCGTGGCAGCTGGCTGAGGTAGGTGGAGGCCAAGCCCGGCCTGTGAGCGCTCTCAGGTGGAAGCGCCCAGCTCCCGACGCAAGAGCGAACGGGAACAATGGGCTCCCCTTGGCCGTGGCCACAGAGCCGTGCGACCTGCCTCTGTTCCAGTGGGCTGTGCGCTTTAGGCTAGCAATTCCCTAGCCCAGTGGAGTCTGTGAGGGAAGCCAGCGCTGACCCTGAAGGATGAGTTCAAGTTCAGCAGGACAGCTTTGTTCCCGTTTCCACTGGTGGGGACAGGCGCGGGTGCTCACCTCCTGCTGCATGTCGCCATGCAGCCGTAGGAATTTTAATCGTGAGGAGGCAGATGGTGGCTGCTCTGACGCGGGGGCTCCTGAGCAGCTCAGCAGGGTCTGGACGAAGAGGTGGTAGTGGAACTCCACCAGCTCGCAACTTGAGAAGAAGATAATCATCTTCTGGTCTTTTTCAAACTACATTGATACAAAGGGGAAAAGCAACCACATTTTTTAGATTGGGTGACACCTAAAACAAGTATTTCTCTAGAATCAGTCATGCCGGCCCCCATTTGGAAACATGTGACAAGACAGCTTTGAATTAAAGAACACTGACAGTGCACGCTACAAAGAATTCAGGAAAGGAAAAAGACACAGCCATCGCCCCACCCGGGTTCCCCACATCCAACGAAGACAAGTACACTGTGGGGGGAGGCCGGACGTCAGCTCGGTTCCCTCATTCTCACCACCATGACCGGCTGAGACTGTAGATGCCAGAAGACCTTGGGGCCTCACTCGCAAGCCCTTCCACCTACGATTTCCCCGTACACCAGAGAAACTTACCACATGAGTCTAGTAAATAAACACAGACATCCTAGGAGTCTTTAAAACACACGAGCTCTGGCCCTTTTTTTTTTTGCCTCACATTCAGCACCTTTCTATCATCTATGACACTCCCAGCATCAGTCCCAGAAAGATATGTAAGGCAGATTTCAAGCTGAACGCAATGGCTACCGCTGACCTCTGATTCTTTCCTAGAACCACTGATACCTGTTATGCATTCACAAACACAGGTAAGCTGGAAATCCTCTGCATGTGTGCCTCACCTCGCTGCCATCAATGCCTGACACAAACACAACAAGGCTTTCTCCCCTGGATCAAGCCAGGTCTCGTCCAGTCCTACCTTACATTTCTGCAGGATGAAGGCTGCTAAGGAGACGAGCCTCAGTTTGCTGGGAACCAACGCCACATGCTGATCCAGCCTCTCTGGTATTGCAAAGCTGTGCAGCTCGTCGCTAGCTTGTGGAGGCCAAACCTCAGGAACTGCTCGGCCCTTTGGGTCAGACTGACCATGGCTTTCATCCAGGACAGAAATACAGACTGGATTGTGCAAACTGATATCAGCCAGCCGTGCTACACCTTGGATAGAAAGTGACAAAGACAAAACAGCTGCCAGGCACACACCATGAGACTGGTGTGTTCGCACAGCCCACACAGACTGCGCCAACACAGAGGCAGCACTGGTCTGCCCTACGGCCGTTGTGGGGGCAGCCCATCAATGGCTCCCCACGCCCAGCAACCCTTCCACACCCGGTTTCTCAACTTGGACCCATGGAAGGCCGCTGAGAGTACATTAACAGGTGTCTGCCCACCACCCCCAGAGAGGGCGCTATGGCCAGGTAAGTCATGAGAACGCTGCTTAGTTTTTACAGGCTCACCGGCCCTCCCAGGACCTTGCCTGTGTGAATGTGCACCAGGACCCTCCAAGAGGAGGCAGGAATGTGTGGCATTTCCCAAAATTTTGAGCACACAATCCTTTTCACGGATTATCTCTGAAGATTAATATTATCTAGAATACACTTTGAGACAGTTGATGCCATGACTGGCATCTGGTGTGTGCACATCAAAATGTGGCTAGAAAAACAAGCAAGCCAGACCCAAGAACGGGAAAGCTGCACTGTTGTTCAATGACTTGTGCAGAACAGTTCTGCTGGAGTCCGTAAGGACTTTTCCAAGCCTTAGTGTTCCCGTCTATAAAAGAATGCTAAGGATTTCCACCTTGTGAGGATGCAAAGACTGAGCTTCAAGAATTTTCTGTTGAAGGCACAGGGTCACTTTAGAAGAAAGGCAGGGTAGGGTGACTGCGGTAAAAACCGCACTGGGTAAGAGGCTGTCACCTCCAGGACCAGCGCCCTGCTCTCCTTGAGCTGCAATCCTCTGCCCGCTGACACAAGTAGCACCCTCCTCACAGAGATGGTTCTGGACCTGGGACCTGCCCACTCTCCCCATGCCCCAGGGAGCACAGCAGGGCGAGGGCAGGACACAGTCTAGGAAAGCAGTCCTTTAGGGGCACTTCCCTCCTCACCCTCTTTGCAAGGCTGAGAACCACGCAGATGACATTGAGTTCTCCTCTTCGTTAAGCACAAAGGCCCCTCTTTTCAACTCACCTTCTGTGAGCGTTGCCGACAGCAAGACGTTCTGTCGTTTCTGGCACTCAGAGTTCACGGCATTGAGGATCACTGTGACATCCTTTTCAAAACCCAAGTCCAAGATTCTGTGGTTTTCAGAGACGGAATTTTAGTCAATATGACGAATAAATGCTGCGACGAAGACACCAGAAGCCCCTTTGCTTCCACCTTTTGTGCTTCCTGGATGAGGCTCACCTGTCTGCTTCATCCAAAACCAGCCACTGTATCCGACTAAAATGAATGCTCTTTGTGGATTTTATGTGATCCACCAGACGACCAGGAGTTGAAATAAGGATATTTATTCCTTTGCGGAGTCTGTTTAAAATTATATATCACAAAAGAAAGTAAATCAAACAGGGTTGTATCAATATAAAACGCAGGAACAAGGCCAATAAATATTCATATCTAGCACCAAGGTACCATAACTCAAAATTGTCACAAACATCATGACAGACAGAGACATGGGTATATTTGTTTTAATTTTCCTCTGAAGTTTCTCTCCTACAGAATACAATTGTTAAGACCTGAAATTATATTAAAATCATAAAACCTTAACCTTGAAAGGAATCTTTACTATACAATCCAATGCCCTTTACATGCTTCATAGATCTTTCTAGAACAGACGGTCATCCAGCCTGTTAGTGAAGGCTTCTGAGCCAGAGAACCTCTTACCTAGAGATATTCCACGCCAATGTATTCTAATGGCTAGAACCCTTTTGTAACTTCCATACAACGGGCCTAACTTTGCCCCATAGACGAGGTAGAATAAATCTCATGTCTTACTCCCAAACATCATTTATCCTATTATTCCACAGCAATAAAATCCTCCAATTTTTAAGCTGTATTTGTTTTCCAGCTTCTCTTGGAATTAAATGTGGTCATGTGCCTGTGTTCAAGCAATGGGATAAGAGAATAAAAGGAATATGCAACTCCCATGAGCGCCTTTAAAAGGATGAAGATGATAGTATTTTTCCCGCTGAGACAGTATCCTCCAGCTGGCAGGGAATTAGATGTAATGGCTGGAGCTCTAGCAACTAAGGCTATGAGATAACCTTGAAAATGGAAGCCCCACTTAGAAGAAAACTGGGTCCTGACACTAAAGCACCATGCCAGCCCTGGATCGGCTATGCCAGGCTTCTTGAATATGAAAGAAGAAAAGAACTTCCCTCCTGTTTGTGCCACTGCTGTATGTTGTTATCTACAAAGGAATCTAATCCTGACCATCCTTTCAGGCTTCAAGTTTAATATTTACTCCTCAGTTACAGACTACACACACTGCTGGGTGTCGGTTACTAAGCATTAAGCTGAAGCACAATAAAAACGTTTTAAAAAGGATGCAAACAATTTGGGGTTTACTTGTTGCAGTGATCTTCAGTGATACTCCCTGCCAGCTGTACAGAAGCAGCCATCAGTGTATGTGGGCAGGAAAGGTGAGGTACAAAGGCATTAGGTAAGCTTACAATCTTGTTTTTGGAACACCACGTGACCAAATGCCAAACTCCAATGTACACAAAAAGGAGTCACCAAGGGGACAGTAACAAGGGTGACCATGGGGCTCAGGGGGATGGGAGTTAAGAAGGTAACGAGCATTGTTACTGACTACATAAGGCAGGAACGCCTTGTAGGCTATCCACAGCACCTCCTAGAAGTGACCGCTCCGGCTGACTAGTACGTCCCCCCACACTAGGGCCAGGGGGCACAGTCCGAGACAGGGCTCTTGGGTTTGGAAGGGTGAGTGTTACTGAACAGGGAGGAAGGACGGACAGAGTCAAAAGGAATTAACAACAAACAAACCTCCCCCTACCTGGCTTTTTCTGATTTTCTCTTCTCTCCTCCCATCAACACTCCAGGCACAATCCAGTTAAATGGCTACAGAGAAGACATCAGACAGAAATCAAGGCAAAGCCCCGTTTACTGAAAATACAGAGACTGATTCTAAGTTCCTTTTCCTCAAAGACAGTGGGAGGAAAGAGTGAGTCCTCTCATAGTGTCAGGCGCCCTCGTGCAGATACAGTCCCTAAGCTCCATCCGCCACGCCCATGATCACCACCAGCAGTGACCTAAATTACAGCTACGTGACTAGCTCCCAGCACCATGAGAGAAACTGAGTTTTCAAATGATTCAAGTAGCTTCTCTGCCTTTCCCCATGGGGCCTGAGCTGAAAACACACTTTGGTAATTCTGTTGCCTTTTTCTTTCTTTCTGGTTAAAATAAAACCCAAACACAACGCATCCTTACCCCCAACTCCTGATGAAAGAAAGGACAGACAGGTGATTCTCAGTCTAATTCGGTGGGATGGTGGCTTTGGCTCTGAAGCCTCCTCTCTCTCTACTTCTCTGCTTTCTTAAACTCCAGTGCAGCTTTCTAAGTTGTCCTCCAATTGGTCACCTCCAGGCTGTACCTGTGAATCTTTGCCTGTGGTCTGCTGGTGACTAGGAACCGACTACAGGACGTTCCGCACCAGGAAGCCCTAGTAATCTAGCGAAGCTAGGTATCAGCAGTCTCTAAAGCCTACATCAGTAAAAAACTACAAACTGCACCCGGGGAGAGCAGAGACATCCAGGGAATAGAGGGAAATTAGAGTAATTCCCAGCTCTGTGAAAACAAAGACTGTGGAAACCTCTCTTTCCTCAAAAAGTCAGGAAAAAAAGATAAAACTGACCTCATGGCTTGCCTTACCTTAAGCAGTTTCTGGACAGTGTCAAAGCTTTGTAGAGCCAGCTGTAAGTATTACAAAGTCACAGATGAGGAGCATGGTTCCCCCACCCCCTCCTTTTTAAAAATTTAGACAATGTCAAGTAATTAGGATCCAACCTTGGACCTCAAAGTTAAGACTTAAGGAAACACACACACACACACACACACACACAAAATTTACTGGGAAAATATGCCTTGTTCTTATTCTTAAGTATGTCCCGCAGCCTGTCAGTTTAGCGAATGAGGGTAGTCATCTCATCTACTTCTCGGACGTATATAAAAACAGTGTTTTGTGCTCCCTCTACTGGTCCGAATTCCCAGAGTGCCACACACAAGTGTAAGTGTGTGGTGAACAAAAGATGGGAGAAATTAAACAGTGACCTGATTCTGGCTTTCTTTCGAGAGAGAGAGAAAATATAGTATATACAAAGGGGCAAACTGGCACAGTGGCACGACGGGCAGCCTGGGGAAGTTGGCTCCAAAGGTAATATGGCTGCATCCTAAAAATATGCCAGGTAGAGCAGCAGCGAAAGACTGATGGTCACTCCCCGAGTTTCTTAAAGAGAAAACCCAACAAGCCCAGTGGAAAGCAGAGAAAGTGAGAATTAATGTAGGTCACAACCATTAACAAACATCAAAAAAGCTTCTGTGTGTTCCCTTTCTCCACGGATACGGATACAGTTTCTACATGTTTAGTATTCACGGAGCATCCCAGGGAGGAGCAAGTTTGCTGCTGTAAAAATTTAAACAGCTCTGTGCCTGCTCCTCACTGGATGGAGCTGAGACAGGGCACTGCAGGCTGTACAGAAGGCTGAGTGGGAGCTTCCAGCTCCATGATCAATTCTCTGCAAGGAATGATTAGCATAGAGAACAGATACCCTAATCTGAAATTGTCTCCACAGGCAAATAAAATATATCAGATGTATGAGATTTCTCCCAAGAAAGAAGAAAAATATTGAGAAGCGGAACTTTCAGGAACAAGTAAAACATTTGGCATATTTGGTATGTAACTTCTTAAAAAAATTTTTTTTTGATTATTTATAATAAGCAAAAAAAGTATAAAAATGTAATTATTTTCATCCTTAAATTATTAAAAAGACAGAAATTTATAGTATCTTATTAGTTTTTAGACAACAGGGAAATCATATTTATGATTTTCAAACAGTATTTGAACTTTTCTTAACAGGAACCAGAAGGATGGTTCCCAGGCAAAGGAAAGGGTGTAGTGGTTTGTGCAGGAAGGAGAAAAATAATTTGGCCACTTTGAAATTCAACAGGGCATCACTGAAATACTTGCTTAAATTCACCCTGAAAGTGAGGCTGCTTACCTCTCTCGTTGGCACTAGCACCAGAGCATAGGGGCCATCGCTGCGCTGTTGGCACAGAAGGAAAGAAACACCATGAGGAGGGTGAGTGAAGGTGCAGGGCTCCAGGCGGGCAGAACTGAAGGGCGGCCACGGCAAACATCAGACGCAGTCTCACTAGAGAAAGGGACAAGAAGTCCCACTACCCTCCTTATGGAACACTGCTCTAGAGGCTCTGGCCCATGCAATCAGAGAAGAGAAAGAAATACATATAAACCTGGAAAGCAGGAAGTGAAGTTGTCATTATTAGCAGATAAGGTTTTGTCCTAAAAACAAAAAAAAAATTAAGAGAAGCAAGTGAAAATCTATTACAAAAATGACAATTCTGTCAAGTAGCTGAATGCAAAATTAATACAGCAAAATTCAACAGCCTTTTAACATAGAAAGTTAGAAAATATAATGGAAGGGGGGGAATCACACTTAATTAGCAACAAAAAAGACATAAAGAATAGGCTTAATAAAAAATATACAAAACCCATATGATGAAAATTTTAAAACACTTCTGAAGAGCATAAAATAAAATTTGAATAAATGGGAAGACATAGCATATTCTTGGGTAAGATGACTCACTCTTAAAAATAAGCTATTTTTCTCCCTAAATCAACCCAGAAGTGTAATGCAATCCTAACAAAATGCCATAAATATGCATACATATGCATATAAAAATAACGATCAGACCAGCTGATTTCCAAGTATGCAAAAGAAATGTGTAAGAATAACCAAGACATTTCTGAAAACCATCAGCTGTTAAAACCATTTAAAGCTATAGTAGTTTTTAAATTGATAGTAGCACATAGAGATTTCAGTAGTAAACACAGTCTAGAATAGAATCAAATATATACAGAAATCTAGGAAATAAGAAAAGCGGCATTTTACATTAGTAGGGAAAAGATGGGCCATTCAGAAGTCCTTTTAGAAAAAAAAGTTGGAATTCAGTTGGCCTTTTTACAGATGGTATAAAACTCTGAAACCACAGACAAAAACATGGACAGATTACATAAAAATTTTAAATTTTAGAATGGAAAAATAATACCTAAACAGTTAAATGACAACATGGGGAAAAAATATGCCAAGCATAAAAATGACCAGTTTCCTTAGCTCATAAAGGTTTATAATTAAATTTAAAAATAAAAATGAAAAAGATCATAACAACTCAAATAGAAATATGGAGAAAGGATAGGAACAGCTGGTCAGTGGAAATAAGAATTCAAAACATGGCTTTTACACATATGAGAAGATGTTCAACTTTACTCCTAAGAGAAATTCAAATTGAAACCATAATATGCTATTTTTCCCTGAGCAAAACTGAAACAGCTGACGTGGCTGATGAGGGCGTGGGCAAACAGGGGCTCTTGCACACTATTGGGAGCAATGCAGATCGGCATAACCCACGTAGAGGTCAATCTTGGTATTATCTATCAACTAAAAATGCAAATCCCACTTACAGGAATTTCTCTAAAAGACACACACATGTACATAAGAAAGTTGTAAAGTATTTCACATACGGTAGAGTATTTTTAATAGCCTTGTTTGCAGCCAACTATTGGATATAATGTGAATGCTACCAATGAGGGGTTGATTCAATGATTTATGGTGCATTCACACAGCGGAATACCAGGCAGCCATTAGACACATGACACAGATGTCCTGATAAGAAGTTACCCGACATACACTGAGTGAATGAAAAAACATCATATATAAAAGACAACCATTTGCGACTCGAACCAAACAGAACAGAAAAACAAATGAACAAGAACTTCAATCCAAGAGGAAAGGGGAACTATGCACACTTAGATTTGCTTTACACACCCGGAATGTCCCCAGGAGAATGCAGAGAGTGGGGAGAAGGATGCCTGGGTCCTGGGACGACACCAGTCCACGGTGAAGGGAAGGAGCAGAGGGACTTACTTTTCACAAGTTTTTTGGTACTCTTTAATACATTACATCTAAAAATAACAGGATTAGCAATAATAAAAGAAAACAAAAAATACAATAAAGCCCCACCTTGAAAGGGATCGCAGACACTTAGGAATGTATCAAAACAATGTTAGTGCAGAAGCTAAGCACAGATTGCGCAGCAAATTTGATTACAAGTATGGTTTTTATGTTTTGCATAGAAAGCATTTACACACAAGAAAAAAAGGATTTGGAATTCAAACTAGAGCTGTCTGTACTCGGCAACAACTTCGTGAGGCTGCGCGGAAGCCCAGGCGAGGAACGGTAAACATGTTAGAACAACGGTATCAACGTGCCAGTGTGACGTTAGGAGATTCTGACATTTCAAAAGGTGTTACTACATGGGCAAGAAGAAAGAAAAATGAATTCCTTGCAGGGCAGAAGTGAGTGAAGAAGGGTGGATGTGATGTTTAAAAAATCAGAGCTAAAGTAACTGAAAGAGTGAAAACAGAAAAGCAGTCCATGCTCATTCCATCACCAAAGCAATTTAAGATTCTGTTGGGTGCCCTGAATTTGCGGTTTCCTTGGATATGTGTTTTACAGGTCAGATCATTTTCAGTGACCTCCAAGGGTCTATATTAAATATTACTTGAAATAAATGAATTAAATTTGCGCTTGGAAAACTCTTTCTATAGAGTATTTCAGCCTTTAACAGAATGAAGTGTTAAGGGTAGTAAAATATCTGAGCAAATAAACACAACCTCATGGCTTGTTAATGGTTCTAAACAAAAGCACATCAAATCACTGCTCTTCAAATGAGCCGCAGGCCTGAGGCAATGCTGCCAGCCAATGCTTCCGAGTAGGTCCTCTGCGTGCACTAGCTCACCTGACCCTCACCATAACCCTAGACGACAGGTGCTGCAATCAGCCCCGCACGACAGGTGAGGGCACTGAGGCACAGAGCGGTGAAAGGGGCTGCCTGGAGTCACACTCGGACCCAGGCTTTGTGCAGAGCTGCCCGCCAAGCTGCCTCTCTCAGTGCGTCATCCAACCTCTGCAGTCCTCGTTCACACATCTGTGAGTGGGACAGCCAGACTAGAACAGGACTCATTCCAGCTCAATTATCCCCTGACTCCACGCTTCGGAGAGGAAAAAACCCCTCTCCCGGCAAGAAGTTCTCGCAGGGTATATAAATGGATGAGACTTTGCTGCACTGTTATGAGAATTTGCATTTCATCCTGTGAGCCAGGTACAGTGCTGAGTGTTGGCATGAATTATCTCACTGTAAAGCACCCAGTGGGAAGACAAAGATGGTCTGGTCACCCAGGAAATCAAATTCCTCACTTACCCATCTCAGAGAAAACCAGTGTAATCGTTTGATCTTGCCTTTTCATGAATACACAAACACACAGATTAGTATGTATGAAATGGAGTCACACTATTTTGTAATCTGCCTTTTTCCAATTAACATGGCAAGACTTGTCAAGTTAACAGTAATTTCTTTCAATTTTATGTTTTACTGATTTTCAATTTTTTGAATAAAATTTAAACTTATTCATTTTAAAATAATTTCAGCATTACAGAACAACTGCACTATAGTACAAAGAACTCCATTATATCCTTCCCCCAGCTTCCTCAGATGCTACTGATTTTCAAAATCACAGTATGATCATCAAAACTAGGAAATTTTTGAATCGCTACTATTAATCAATCTACAGACCTTATTCAAATGTCACTAGCTGCCTTATGAACATCCTTTTTCCAGATTGGGATCCAGTTCAGTACCACATGTCGCAGTTAGCTATCACACCTCCTTTGACTCTCAATTGGGGAGAGTTTTTAGTATTTGTCTTTTCTGACCTTTTGAAGAGTACTGGCCAGATGCTTTGTAGAATGTCCCTCAATTTGGGTTAGTCTGACATTTGCTTATGAGTAAATTAGGGTGATGTGTTTTCAGTAAGAGAATCACAGAAGTGATGTGTCCTCCATGCACCTATCAGAGGCACATGGGGTCTGCACATCTCAGCACTGGTGACGCCCACCCTCACTGGGTGAAGGTGGTGGCAGCCCAGCTTCCACACTGTCAAGTTATTATTCTTCCGTCTGTGATTAAGAAGTATCTTGTGGGGAGATGCTTTAAGACAATGCAAATACCCATTTTCCATCAGACTTTCATTCACTCACTTTATCATCTATGATGGTCCTTGCCGGACACATGACTGTGGCATTTGCCAAGTGATGATATTCTACATTTATTCATGGAATTCCACTTTAAGGAAGGGCTTTCCCTTCTCCATTTACTTATTCAATAATTTATTTATATCAGTTTGGACTCATGGATATTTGTTTTAGTCTATGGGCTGTAATCCAATATTATCATTATTATTTTCTCACTCTAATATCAGGTAGGCGCGATACATATCTAACTCCACATGTTCAAATGGAGAAAAAAGGTAAACCAATTGGCTCTTTTCATCTGCTCATGCGCCCGCCTTGCTTCCTATTTCTGACCTCACCATTTCCTCTCAACTGAGAATAGCTAGGGCTGTATTTGTGGGATTTGGGGCTAGGTTTTGAGATGCCGCCGATGCCTCTGAACACAACAGTTAACTGGCCTCCTACGGATCCCAAGGGGACCAATTCTGGCCTCTTGGGGTTAAGTGTTCTGCCATTACTCACCACATGGCCTTCGAAAGTTACTTAACTTCACCAAGACTCCATTTCTTTTTTGCAAAATTGGGAGAACAGTAATACCTACAACTCAGAGGCAGTTCAAGGTTCAATAGGTAACACAGGCAAAGCACTTGGCATGATGTCTGACACACGGGGAGCATTTTCCACATGTTCCCTATTAGACCTACAGTGATGATTATGAAATATTTTATTCTATTCTACTCTGAGCACAATGTTCAGATGCAGCATGTTTATGTAATAAGGAAATTAAAAAGAGGTAAGAAAACAAATGCTAAGTGAGAAGAGATCCATTTGGGCCTGGAACACCTGCTTTGGTTCAGTCTGATGCACAGTATTTAGGCACTGAGCAGTAATAACAGAAAAACATTTACTCTCACCTGTATTTTTGGTTTCATTGCTTGAAGACACTGGACCACAGGGATGCAGTAGGCAAGAGTTTTACCTTTTAAAAAAAGTACAAAAAGCAATTAAAATTATACACCCTGTAGATGTAAGAAAAGCAAATACAGTAAGAGAAACGGCTATCTTTGGGTAGCACTGAATTCTGGGGTAAGAAAAAGCACACATCATACATTCCAGAGGAGTGAAAATGGAATTCCCGTCTGCCACAACGCAATCATTTTGCTTTGTAAATTCAGTACTCCTGAAAGAAACCCTGCAGACTCAGCTCTTTCACGCATCTAACAAGGGAGGCTCTGATACCTCCCCCAGGTTACACAAAGGTGCACCGTGCTGGTTGTTCCTGGAAGCTAGAAAGCTCATCTGAAGTCCTTAACCTCTCAAAAGAGCTTCAGTGGTCAAGTAAATATCCTCTGTGGTGCTGATGTGATTAGGAGCCAGTCTGAATCCCAGAGTTAGCCTCTGAAGACCAAGGAGAAACCAAGGGATGCCAAAAGCCTTAGGTTTCCACCCACCTAAATGGTGGCTGAGCTCGGGGGGGCCGAGGGCACAAGAGGATCAAAAGAATAAGTCCAGACAACTCTGGAACACGCAAAAACCATGTTCCATGTCCGAGTATACTAACGACATCCAACAGTGTCAGACTGTTTCAATGCCAGAAGGAAATATTCATTCCCCACTGGAGTGAGGATGGGCGGCTCTGGCCACAGCCAGCAGGACTGGCGAAGGGCTCTCAGGGACGGCGGCACGACCTGATGGCTTCCTGGTTGTGGCACCACCCGACCAGCCCCTTCCTTTCCCCATGGGAACAGATTCCGGGAGCTAATCAAAAGCCAGCATGGCCTCCCTCCCCAACAAAGCAGCCACCACTACAGACACCTTACTATACAGCTATTCCGTGAACATGGCCTCGAGACACAGGACAAAGGGCAGAACAAGTGCCACTGACCTGAGCCCGTCTGCGATCTCACGAGAGCATCTCTGCCTTCCAGCAATGCGGGAATACTTTGCTTCTGAACACTTGGGCCCAAAAGAAAGAACACATGCTTATCTGTAATATGTTAGCCATTATGTTTACAGGCAGAGCAGCAGGCCGCACAAATGCAACCTGCCCGTGCTTTGGTTTGCCTGTCACCTGCCACCTTACACGTGACCTAAACATTCAGTGAGGGGCTGAGAAGCTTCTGACAATTAGAAGAAGGAAACCTCAGTTAATTTCTGGAACTTAGTTGAAAATGTAAGCCAGAGATTGGCCATTCTTTTAGATTCATTAAAAAGAAAAATGTGACAGGCACGATGACATCAGAGCTGCCATGAAAACATGTCACACACACTCCTGCCTTCCGTAACGGGGGACAGGAAACACTGAAACACGATGGGAAGAGTCCCGGGCAGAAGGGAGGCGGGAGCCTGTGAGCCATCCGGAGGGCCAGAAGTGCTATCCATTCTCCAGAAGACCAAGATAGGACTGAAACACACACACTACGACATGTATGTCTACATGTCCATTTAAAGACAAACAACAGCAAGAGTACAGAAATTCTTTAAATTTGGTTGATAAAACTGAACCAAAAATACTGATGAGGTCTCCTTATTTTATTCAGTATTCTTATTAATTTTCACTTTAAGTAAATGTGATTACTAGAAATTGTAAAGAAGCATTCATACTCAAAAAGAGGAAGTTCATCTCTGCTACGTACCTTTTTTTACTATTCTATTTCCATTTTCTGAGAGCTTTACTACTAACAAACTTTTCAAAGACCTTTTTCAGTATCCCATTGTATCTAACCAAATATTTACTCGCCTTTTTGGTGGAGTCTAGTTCTTCATACAAAGAAATGACATGATAAATTCTGTATTTTGGACAAATTATTTTTAGGGCAGCATGGATGACAGTGGGGTCTTATGCACACCATCTTATGGACCAGCGCTCTCTTACAGCTTAGGGCTGAGAGCAGAACCAGATGGGAGACCTAGCCTCTCCATTTAACAGGTGAGGAAACAGTGGCTAAGTGGTATGTCAAGCCCTCAATGGTCAATGATATGGCATTGTTGGCTAATGCCAAGACACAAGGTTGCTCTGTCCTCTGCAGACAATTATTTCATCTGCTTACACACATTTCATCTGCTTATACCCACTTACATCCTAAGAATATCAAGATTGGCCTGGAATTCTTACCTGGTCATACATGACATTTTTAAGACTGTATTTATTGTGGAAATCTAAAAGAGAAGACAAAAAGCAATTTTCTTTATGGATTTTTTTGGTACAAATATACTTAATGCAAATAAGGACACAGAAAGGAGAAAATACTGGTATGAAACGATTACCATGGTCAAATCAAGTCCCTCCAGCCCAATGGTTCTCAACTGGGGGTGGTTCTGCGTCCCCCTCCCATCTGCCGGCTACACCCTGCCCTGACATGTGGCTGTGGCTGGAGAATTGTCACAACTGAGGGAGGTGAGCAGAGGCACCGGCTGCAGCTAAACCTCCTACAGTGCCCAGGACGGCGTTTCCATCCCCAGAGGCCCACAGCTGCCAAAGCTGTAGGCGAGAAAACCAGCTGAGGTAACCCACCCTAAAAGCTCTCGGGAGTAGGAAAGCTGCGACCATATGAGCAGAAGAAATCCAGACGCCCTAAAAGTTAATGTATTTTTCTCTTCTTACTCTACAATAAGTCTGGAAAACGCATTCATGGTTTTTAGGGAAAAAAGTTGTCTATTTGTGCGTAGTAAATTCACGTTAAAATAGCCTCGTCTTCCTTCAATTCTTTGTAACTACAGACTTCCCTTAAGAGCAAGATGCCAGCGCAGTTCCCTTCCCTGTGGTCACTGTGACATCTACCACCCAGAACAGCCTCAATGTCCCATCTGTCCAATAATTAGGACGTTGTCTTTAAGTCCAATAAAGTCCCAGTCCTAAACTAGGTGAGGAAATTAGGTGAGGAAAGTCTTTAGATTATTTTTATTAAAAGGGAGTAGAAGTAATTCCTACTATTAAAATGGGGGAAATGGGGGTAAGGAAAGTGGCCAGCAACCTAAGCTCACTTGAACTGTCCTGGAAGAGCAGCTTAGCAACCTGAGTTCATTCAGGTAACTTGGTACAGAAATGACCATTCTCTTTTTTTCTTCTTCTAGAACTGTCATGAATAATCAAATAATAAAAAAAAAATCAACTGCATAAGACACTGGAAAGATACTTACCAAATGTGGGTGGAGGTCCAGTCCATGAAAAGCATCTGAAGTAAACACTTTTTCTTGTACCTGCTTTACTACAGGTCTGCAAATGATGACCAAAACCCAGGCATCAGTTCCAACAAACAAAGAAAAAGGCACAAACACTTAATTCTTTTTATTCCTAAAGTGCACCTGCACCTGGACATACCTGTGGAGTTCTGGAATTTCAGGGTTGTTTTTAAACAATGATGAAGTCTTAATGCACGGTTTCTGTTCTTGCTTTCTATCACTGGCACTAGCCGAAGACTTCTTCAGAGAAAATATTTTCTGTGCTTTCCCCTTAAAAGTCTTCTGTGTTTCTTTTGGAGCAGTTTTCTTGGCCGGGAGAAATGATGTCTCGTTCTTCCGTTTCCATGGGGGAGCCTCACTGGACCCTTGGTATTTTCTTTTGGTGGCCTCTCCTTGCTGCATTGTTCCCAAAAGGAAAGAGCAACAAGAGATGCATTAGTCCATGAAGACAGACCTCAGAGTGAAGCCTCACTGCCCACAGAATTGCATCTCTCCCTGCAGAGATCATTATGCCCCATATGTCAAGCAACAGTTTAGGGTCTGCAATCACATTCTTTGACTCAGCTTTTTTTCCAAAAGGAAAACAAAAAAATCCCACAAAATCTCAGCTCATTCATCTACTAGACCCCATCATCCATCTTAACTGTCAACTTAGCCAAGAAGAAGATGAGGCTCAAGAAGGGAGAAACATTTTGGGGCTGAATGTTAACAAATGGAGTCTGTTTTAGGGAAGAGCCCACCTTGTGAGGTGTGCATGTAAGTCACCCACATCCCTGGAAACCCATTCACACGAGAAGAAGGGGGGCAGGGGAAATGAATCCTCCCTCTCTACCAACAACGCCCGTTGGCGACTACATGTGGAAGGCTGCATCCCAGTTTACGCGCACGCAAAAACCTTCATGACTGCTCCACCCTCGCGGGCTTGGATCGCAGTCATTCTCTCCCCTCACGCTGCTCTCCCAGATTCAGATGGCTTGCACACAATTCCTTCTTGCCGTTTCCATTCCAAATGAGAATTCTGCTCCATCCGTCACTTCGGCCACAATTATTTCCAACCCTCCCTGCCCTTTAGTATCCCGTCTGATCGCCAATCACAACCCACAACGCTAGATGTTTTCTTGCCTGTTGCTTCTTGCTTCCATAACATGAATGTGCTTAAATTCATGATATCCAAGCTTCCCCTAGGAGAAGAAACATCCAATTCTTCTATTTTCTTTGGCCTTCTCTTCCAATTTACACATGAATATAAAGAACCCCATGAGTAGCCAGGGCTTGTTATTCTGGAGTTTGGGGTTCACTTGGAATATGTTATTTTCCTCTTAGCTTGAAATGATGACTTCCAATTACACATCAGCTTGCTTTAGCCGTAACTGTCAGCTTCACACTAACCTGCCGATAACAAGAGTTCTTTGTCCTAGCAACAACAGGGACTCCTACATCTAAGTAACTCAATAAATACAGCCTCACATATTTAATATTAATAAAATACTGACCTACCTCATTTTACAAATTTATTCTTACAGAGTCCCAAGTTTATGAATTTTCAGATTAAAGAAAGAGATGAAGTCAAGTTGCAGGTCTGTTTAATCATTCACAAGGCAGAATGAAATGTGCAAACTTTACCTGATTCATAGAACCACAGACTCTCTGAGCATAAAAAGGCCTTAAGGCCACTGCCACCACACAAGGACTTCCTATCACAGGCTCCCTGACGGGTGGCGTTTCTGCCTACACACCTCTTCTTAACTGTTATCAATCCCTTGAGGCAGACCAAAGTCTAGGAGTTACAAAGCTGTTTCTGAAATTCAGGCAAGATCTGCCACCTTGACCATCTACCTACTAGTCTGAGGTTTGCTTTCTGCATCAACACAGAAGCAGCTTACTTCCTCTTCTACATAACATTCCTCATACATCAGATTATCTCCTTTTTTCTGTCTTCATTGGACTAAATAATCCAAATAGGATACAAACTTTAGATCCCTTATCATACTGGTCACCCTTTACTCCCATGTCAACTTCTCTCTAAAAGCAAATATTCAGAGTTAAGTACAGTATTTATTAGACAGCTTTTCCATAGCTCTTAAGCTAAATCTGTAGTAATATGATCTACAAAGCCCTCTAAAATCTGGCCTCTGCCCATCTCACCAGTCTCAGCTGTACCCTCTGCTTTCCTGGTCTTTCTTAATTCCTAGAATGTACCACGTTCCCTTGCTCCTCAGGGCCTTTGCACATGTTACTCCTACCCCCATGTCTCCAACCCTCCCTTTGGCTGCCTGACTGACACTCATCCTTAGAAGAGTCTTTCCTGACCTCCTCTTTTTTCTTTTGGTGGCCTCTCCTCGCTGCATTGTTCCCAAAAGGAAAGAGCAACAAGAGATGAATTAGTCCATGAAGACAGACCTCCGAGTGAAGCCTCACTGCCCACAGAATTGCATCTCTCCCTGCAGAGATCATTATGCCCCATATGTCAAGCAACAGTTTAGGGTCTGTAATCATTCTTTAACTCAGCTTTTTTTCCAAAAGGAAAAAAATCCCACAAAAATCTCAGCTCATTTATCTACTAGACCCCATCAAGCCAAGGATCCTGTTCTTGACTCACCTGGAACCCTTATTCCCCTTTGTAGCACTTAGCACAATGACATGTATGGAATGTAATTCACTGTGTGGGGTTTGTCTTCCCTGTTAGATCATAAGCTCAGTAAAGAAATGGATGAGCCTGTCTTGCACGGCACTGAGTCCCTGCACGGGCCCAGGTCTGGCACAAAGTAAGCGCTCTACAGACGCTTGTAAGACGAGTGAAATGCAATGGGATTATCCCTTTCTGTGACATGGGCACTACCCTACTACATCTTAGCTTTTCTCCCCCAGTGCCCACAGCACATTCGTTTAAAAACTGACTGCTTAGTAGCTGCCAAGTAGCTTGCTTCTTAAGATACAATGCTGGAAGATCAGCCAAGCCCTGGAGGAAGTCACAGACTGCTGGAAGAGACATGTACCACCATATATCCAAACCCATATTTCCACTACAGAAGAGGTACGGACAAAGGACTATGAGAGCACAAAATAAGAAGAAACACTACTATGGCTTATCACAAGCAGAGGCAAAGAAACAGGAATGCATCATGAGGTGGTATTTGGGCAGAGGGGCAAGGACATATTGAGATCTACTAAGAATTAGCTACACAGCATGAAGCAAGTCACATCTGAGTCTTTGCTCTTGCACCCGTAAATGAAGATTATGGCAGCTGCCCCCCTAGGGCCCATCTGGCCCTCACAGTGTTTGGTATCAGTACTATGTGTTTGGTATCAGTAAACATACTGACTAGTTACTGTGCACCAGGCAGTATGCTAAGTACTTATACGAATGATCTCATTTACCAACAGAGGTACAGGTATCCTCTCATTTTAAGGTGACAACACTGAGGCAGAGACGGGAGGTAATCTGTCCCAGAATCACTGAGAGATCCAGGCTTCGCCCAGACGTCGATTACATGGCTTGGGTTCCTGACAATACTATAATTGCATTTATTAATTATATCATGTTTGGTTAGAAAACATCACATACAATTTGATCATTATTTTGTTTTGAGCTGTTTTCTGGAAGAATATATACCAAAATGTTAATCAGAGTTCTAAGTATGGCAGCTGTGGGTGGGGATTTTTTAATTTGGTTTTGTTTTATTTACCTACTTTACAATTTTCCAACAATAAATTTGTGTTAATTTAATGACCAGAAAACACTTTAGAAAGAGAATGTTCTGCATAGTGTTAGATATAGGGTAATTTAACAGATCAAGGTTTTTCCAAATCCGGTATGTGAGCTATTCATCCCAAATTCAGGCTACTGGCAAATTTAATTAGCATGTCCACAATTCATAATTGTGAGGACACAAATAAGTAGATGCAGACAAAACCACTACAGACACTTATACTTATCACCACCTTATCAGTTAACACCCTTTTAACACAATGGTTTAAGCAATCATAAAACAGACACCCTATGTCTATGTATTCAACTCAAAGTTTTAGCAAGTGCTGCCTATGTGTTAGTTACTAGGCACATACTAGGCACAAGCACCCCACTGACTTTCATTATGTAGCAATTATATTACTGAAAACGGAACTAATATGATTTTCTTAAATTATTGACATTTATTAAATGCCCTTCTATGGACCAGAAAATGTATAGAGTGTTTCTGTGTATTATCTCACTTAATCCTCTTAATAACCTTATATGAAGTATAAGTTATTGTTCTCATTTGACGGGTAGGAAAAGTGAAAATCAGAGAGGCGAAGAAACTCCCCCAAGGTCACGGAGCTAGTCTACTGCAAGGCTGGCATGTAATCCCAGGTCTGTGCTACCCCAAATGCAACTCCTCCAGTTGTGACTTTCCCTTCCCCTTCCCACACAGATGTGGCGATACCATTGGCTAGCTGAAAACTCTTTACTCCCAAGCTTCTAAATCCTGAAGTTTGATTAATACAAAAAAATAACCAAAGAGAATACAGACAGCGGGTGTTTGCAGCTGTAAGGTTCTATGAACTCAAGGAATTTCATCTTCAACACATTGGTTGAACTGAACTGAACTTCGGCAATTGACTTTTCAACGGGCTTAATCTGTTGCTTTTTCGAGAATACGCGTGCACGCACACTCTCCGTCATTAGCGTAAGATTGTGGTCCGGTAACATGATTTCACAAATTTTCTGCCCTGCAGATCTCTTCTTTCCTAAGAGATAAGTCAACCGTCCCAGAAAAGTTCTCAGTTGTGGCCTGGGTTAAATTTAAGGCATCTTTCCCCTCCCTAACGAGGGGTTTATACTGAGCTGTATCCTTTCCCCCTCCACGGCACGTGGATGGAAATCTATGCCATTTTTAAAAGCTCTAGAAAGAAATGTCTAGTCTCCAATCCTCATTACTGAAACAAATGACCCTTTGTGCAGACAACAGAGACAGAGAGAGAAGTGTGGCTGGTAAGTGACGGGGCTGGGACTCCCGCCCGTGCGCCGGTTCCCAACTCCAAAGGGAAAGAGCCTCCGACCTTCACACTACCTTTCGAGTCCTCCAACTACCAAGGGCTTCCCAAGCCAGCAACCGCCCCTCTAACCAGTCCGCTCCCTCCAAGACCCTCCTGCGCGGGGTGGGGTTCCGGTCTCAAACACGTGTTGCTCGGCGACTCCGCCAGAAGCTAATGCTACCTGACTATCTCCCAACTACGTCAATAATTTCGAAACCCGACCCAAAGGCAAGGCGGCAGTTCGCAGGCCCGGCCCAGTTGCGTACGGATCTGAAGCCGGGTCAGCACTCACCCGCCTCACCTGGGCCCGGCGGGGTCCGGAGGACGTCCTGGGGGCGGCAGCCGGGGACTCGAAACCCTGGAGGCGCACGCCGTGCGCGACCGCCATGGCCGGCGAAGGGGTGCAGCCTCAGGCGGGCGAGCCAGGCGCGCCTGGACCTGGAGAAGCTGGACGGCGGCTCCGCTTGTGCCCACGTGGGACGCGCGCGAGGACCCCACAGCTGCCCCGTCGGGTCCTGCGGCCGCGCCCCGTCCGGGTCCTGGAGGGCTCGCGAACACCGACCGGGTCAGCCCCGCTGGAGATCGGAGCCGCGGCGCCGGAGCCCCAGAGCTGGCGAGGGAGGCCGGCCGGTGCAGGGGATGTCCAATTACACAGCCCCGGAGTTCATGCTTGTGAAGTTTGAATGCCTCTGAGAAACAAGAAGAGGCCGTGCGCCACCTACCCAACGTTTCCTTCGTCTGCCGCCGGGTTACGGTCCCCTCGCACTGTAGTTGCCCGGGGAGGTCGCTATAGGGCCTGGGGCTTGGTCTCCCCGACAGGGTGTCCTCGAAACTGTTTCCCCTCGCCCTTCGCGACCGAGTCCCGGCGCTTCTGTCCGGCCAGCAGAGGAGGCGCGGTTTCTAGACAGGCAGCGCCTTGGCCACCTGGCAGAGCTAGGTCGCCTAGCAACGGCGGGGTCCTTCGTGGCTCCGCGGCGCTCCGGGCCTGCGGGGAGTGAACTGCTGCGGCGGGTGCAGGGGGCCGGCGGCGACGGTGCGAGGTGCGGCAACGCAACGGCGACGCGGCGTTGGCGAGCACGGGCACCCGGCCTCTGCATCTGAGGAGAGATGAACACGGCCGACAAGGCCCGGATGGGGCCTGCGGCCGACGGGCCTGCGCCGCCCGAGGAGGAGGAGAGCGAGGGGGGCGGCGAGGAGGGCGGGAAGGAGCGGGCGGCGGACGCGGTCCCCGGGCCCAGCGCCGCTTTCCGTCTCCTGGTTACTCGGCGGGAGCCGGCCGTGAAGCTTCAGTATGCAGTGAGCGGCTTGGAGCCGCTGGCCTGGTCCGAGGACCACCGCGTGTCCGTGTCCACGGCCCGCAGCATCGCCGTGCTGGAGCTCATCTGCGATGTGCACAACCCGGGCCAGGACCTGGTCATCCACCGCACCTCGGTGCCTGCCCCTCTCAACAGCTGCCTCCTCAAAGTAAGTCATCCCGGGGCCTCAGCCCTGGGGTCTCCTCCTGCGGCCGCGTCACTGGTCTCTGGGGGGAATCCCGGCCCGCGCCTACTCCGGGGATTCCCCTCTCACCCAGCGCCTAGGGCTAAATGACTAGCGTCGCTGTAGTTTTAAACACACACAAAAACGCTTGCTGCCGTTTGTTTGCCCCGAGTTTCCTGCATCTTCCACCCGCGTCCGACACACGTGTATCCTAGGAGGCCCCTCGGAGCCAGGTCCTTCCTTCGCCCCTGCGTCTGGCCAGCTGCAGGAGCAGATACTCCCTGTCGAGCTTTCTGAGGCTCCACCGCCTGCTGACCCAGCCCCGGAGCTGCCTCTGCAGTTGCTTCTATTGTTTGGGACCTACTCCCCGATGCCCTTGGTTGGCATTGTTTACTGTGACGTGCCCTCCTCTTGCCCCTCTTGCTTTGGAGAAGCATAAGAAATTTCGGTCTGTTCCATTATCATAACTATTTCCGGGACTTTATTATGAACGGTCCTTGCTTCTCATCTTGGGCAGCTGGGCAAATACCGAATCACGCGGTTTGTTCTCTAGTTTTTCTTTAATAGCTAAAAATCTTTAGGATGTAGAATGAAAAATACAGCCTCTGTAATAAATGCAGTTCTTAAACTTCAAGTCCAAGGTCTCTGTAGATTGAGCTTTCAGCTTCATGTAAACTAAGTTTGCCTTCAGAACTTCAGGGTTCCTAAAGTCTAACTCCTTTAATATCACCATTTTCAAATTCACCTTTCTTAAGTGGTAAATTATATTATTCATCATTAGTGGTTTAGAAGTATAAAAATTTTTTCTAGTTCCTTTATAGATCTCTATGCATATATGTGGCCTATTAAAGTGTATATTCACTCACTCAATAGATACTGAATATCACTGTGTATCATCTAGACACCGATCTAAGTTTTGGAAGTCAATATACAGAACAGTCCCTGCCCTCATGGAGGCTGCATTCTTCGGCAAGTCAGAGCAAATAATAATGTAATGTCAGTGGTAAGTGCTGTAGAGACCTGTGTCCATCCATATTCAGAGAATGTATGTGAAGTTTTTTTAAACCCATATTCTGCACAGCCATTTTAAATATGAATCAGGAGTTACACATAGGGTGCAGGGAGCCCACACCACAAAGCATACATTTAAGTCAAGTTTTGAACGACAGTTTGATGCTGAATTAGGTCATGGGTAACTTGTATGGCTAAAACCCTTCTAAGATCTTGGAGAAAATATAAAATTGGTTCAAGGATAAATAAATCAGTTAGATAGATGATAGTATGGTGAGATTGTGAAACACTCAGGGAGGGAGGCAGAAGAAGGGGGCCTGAAAGGGCGTGTGCTCTGCTAAAAGGGAAATACTGTTTCTGAGGATATTCATATTCTCATCAACTAGAGAAAACTTAGAGTGTGTGTGTAACTGTGGTAGAGATTTAAGAAAGAATAGTGAGGAGAGGTGCTTGTATCAGGAATGTTATGTGGTGGTGAATCTGCAGCAGTCCTAAAGGAAGGGTTTTTTGGCTGGTAAGAGGAAGAGAAGAAGGGATCATCCAGGTGGTAGGAATAAGATAAGTTGGCATTCGCATACGTATTTAAGCCAATGACCTTATTTACTATTGTTTAATTAGTGATGGATCAACAGATGAGGTCTTCTAGAGGATCAGAGAAAGTGAGATGAGGCCAGTTTGGGAACTTTGAAGGTTAATCTGAGGAAGTTGGCTTCAATCTAGGAGGCCCTAAGGTGCTATTACAATTTTCATAAGTAGGGATTGACATGGTATGGTTCAAGAATGTGAATCTGTCTGGATTAGAGGCAAGATGATGATTATTGGGGTTGGTATGAAATAGAGGTTAAGAGATTGAGCTTTAGACTGCTGCATGGTGGCACAGATGATGTGGGTGGCAGTGGACACCCAGGGCTTCTGAGATTCTGAGAGCTCACCCAGGGTCCTGGCTGGTTGTTTGGGGTGTGGGTGCCTGATCCCACTGGAGATCAGGGGCGGAGGATACAGAAAGAAGGACGGAAGAAGCAGGGGGAGAGGGGAGAAAAGGAAGATTACTTTTTAAAAGCCCAAGTTACAGTCAATAAAATTACTGGCTAAAAAAAAAGAGATTGGGTTTGGGCACAAGATAGCAAAATAGATAATAAAACCTTTTCGGGAGATTAAATTAAATACATATATACATATGGATATACACACACATACAGTCGATACAGTTCTGGCATGCTGTAAATGCTTGAGGTAAAAAATGCAGACAAACAGGCATGAAGGAATATCTGGATTAATTCTGTGGCTGTGGACAGGAAGGTTTCCACAGTATGCTGATAAAAATTCCACTCTGTCATGGGGTGCACAACTGTCTAACAAGTAATAGGGAATCTTTATATGTATCTCTAATAATTGATAGCTTGCCTGAAATTAATTAATGGCATCTTCCCCTTGTGTACTGTTCTTTGGTATACACATCACACAGGCCATCAATCAGTTCGCAGTCCTGCGATGCTAGGACTGCCTGGTGAATGAATGCTGAGTTGTCCCTGCAATTCTAAAAGAGGCCTCTATGGGTAAAACTGTGGTGTACTGGTAGAAATGTAAAGAAGTCTGTATTAGCAGAACTTGGATGGCTCTACCCATCAGCAGTCTCTGGGGATATAAATCAGCTCGGTGCTGGCCAGCTTGCCTTGCTCTAACATGAAGGATGGACATCCTGCAGCCCGGGTGGCAATGGTAGTGTGTAGCACTGCTGGGAGGCTACACGCTAAACCTCTCTGAAGCTTTTGCTGTATGATTCTGTTATTTAGCTTATGAATTTCTTTGGGGAAAATATGTAGTTTTCTTATAGTTCAAATATTACCCACTATTTACAAGTTAATGTCCTGGGCACTGAGGTTATGTGATAAGAAGGTGAATGATATAAATATGAAAAGCAACAACATTGTGATCTAAGAATAATTTTTTGCAATTTTTCTTCCTATTAGATAACTGGTTTAGTGAATCTAGTTGTACAGTTACAAATTCTGATAGTATATGTACAACTAATTTTATCATGTACCAATTGCTAAGAGCATTAGAAAGTATTCTTCCATCCACTACATTAAGTTAAATAACTATCATCTGTCTTTGGAATCATCCTGTCCTCAAGAAGCTTCCTGTCCAGTAGCTTCAAATGTGTTTCTGTGTGTTAGGTACTTAACCAAGTACATAGCTATTAGTGGCAATAGTAGACAACTGGAAACAGGATGGTATATAACTAAAATGATGGGCTAGGAATGGACCTCTGGCTGCTGAACTGGACTCTTAGTGGTGTATGCTCCTAGGGTGTCTTGAATATTTTTAGTTTGTTAACTAGTTTTGTGATATGGAGAGCTGGGGGGAGGTGCAATAGGCTCATTCAAACATGTATTAGAAATTCACAAAACTCTAGTGGCTGAGATCCATGCTGCTCTCCCTTCTATCAAGAATTATTCTCATAAGGAATGGACTAAGGGTTGCTCCTCTAGCTTCCTTTATTAAATTCTGTGCTGCTGTTTTGGGATACAAAGTCTCAAAGTTTACTTTTAATTCTATAGTAGCTTTTCTCTGTAGCAAATTTACCTATACTAAGGATTATTGCTTGGTTTGTAGTATTACAGTATTTGGTGAATAATTTTATATCTACCCTTCATTTAGTGGACCTTTTATCTACCCTGCATTTTATATACTTTTATTAAGTCTTACTAACATTTGTCTAATCCTGAGAGTATTAATAAATTATCATAGCTCGTGTTTATTGAGCACTTAATAGATGTTTTACATATATTGGCGTATTTAACCTTCCAAACTCTATGAGACATGTATTGTTAGTTTTTGTTTATAAGTGAGGAAATTACAGCTGGAAGATCAAAGCAATTCGTGCGGCATCTCAGAGCTAGTATGTGATAGGCCAGAATTGGACCCAGAGTCTGGCACCGTAGCACAGATTTTCAGTCATTATTCTGTGCTTCATTCGTCATATTTCAAATTTTATTTACGCATACAAAGCTCTAGGCTTTGGTTAGCTTTCTAACCGGCTAGCCTGCTACACCTCCATTCGAGTATCCAAGGGACTATTTTAAGGGCTTTTCTAAGATCAAAATATAGTGTCTCAAACATCATTTCCAGAGTACTTCAGGATGTTAAAGGATGCCCCCCCCCCCGACAAAATGGTTGTTTAAAAAAGAAGTTTAGATACCTGTGGCTAAATAAGTCTCCGCAGTAACTCCTTAGGACACTTAACATGCTCCTGTGGCCCTTCGAGGGAGGCTGGCTTACATGCATTCCCGAAACTACTTGGCCATGAAACTCTTCTTCAAGGGACAGTTCAGGGGAGTAGTATTCTGTGAACACACTTTTGGAAAAGTTAGTAATCAAACTCATTTGTTGGACAGCATTTTATCTACCTTTCATTTTATATGCTTATTTATTATGTCATTCAGCAGGAAAGAGAGTAGATTCTTCCAGTTTCCTATGCCCATTTTTAATGATCCCTGCTGCCTATGCAAACCATTCTTCTGTTATACACGGGGGCATTTTATTCCCTATCGGGCTCAGTGGTCTGTGTTTTTGGTTCTCTGCTTGCCATTTGGGAGGCACTTGAGAACTGTTCATCGCACTCTGGTTCTCTGACGTTGCCAGCTGTCCAGGGCTTACTGAGGGCTGTAGTCGGTGGGTCTGAGTGCAGCGTCTTCCAGCTTCTGGGTTCTCGAATGTAATTCCTCTGCGCTTGGGGACTTAACCTCATTGAAAAGGACTTACTGTATCCGTACATGTCTGGCTTGAAATCCTTTTTAATCATGCTTGTTCTACCCTTTCCAGTTTGAAGATGGACCTCTATGTAAAAGGAGATTGACCCTAAAAAAGAATTGAAAGGTTCTGCTTTCTTGCTGTTATCCATTTCTCTAAAGAGAGGGGTTAAGGCCTTTTTTTAATCCTGCTTCCAACATATCAGAAACCATATTTTAGTTGACCTCTGTATTTTGGGCATTAGCCTTCCTGGCTATTTCTTTTGGCCATTTCTCTCTTCCTGTGTCTTAAATAGCTCTTTAAAATCTGTCAAATTTAAAGAGCTCACCATCATACAGTGAGGCACTAAATAAATAGCACTGCTGATACATGTCACAAACTTGGAGGAGGGGAGCTGAATGAAGCTGGAAAGATGTCAGAAGGCCTCTCAGAGAACTAGACCTAGTAGGATGGATGGGATTTAGATTGGAGGGAAGAGCATTCTGGGCAAGGGAGCCAAGGAAGGCAGAGGGGAAGGCTTAGGGAAGGGCAGGCAGTCTAGCTGGAGTGGACATTATAGAAACGGTGGGCAGAGCAGTTGGAGTTGGCTTTCAGTGTACTTGGTAAATGAAATTTCAGGTAGAAAACTTAAAACTTAAACCTAGCATTTGCATCACAAAGATACTGTAAAACCCAAATAGATCTAATTGTATCAGAGTTGTATATAGATAGGTATTATCGTGAATTTGTAACAAGTTTATTGTTTTATGACTAGTTCTGCTAGATGCCCTGTTGACTCTTAAGAATCAAATACATCCTGTTATCACTATTGGTTAGTTGTTTCAAGAAGACTGAGAACCAAGCTATGAATAATGACAACACTAAGTCTCGCCCTTTAAAAAAAAACTGTGATATCTTGAGTAAATCATCATTTAGTTTTAGATGTGTACTTGATCTCTTCAGTGCTTGTCACACCCAAATTAACAGAATGCAAAAAATGAATCAATTAATATATGCTAAGTAATATAAATATATTTCTCTTAGAGTAAAATATTTATCTGATAGTTTTTATATTTCTTATTTTCAGGTTGGCTCAAAAACAGAAGTTGCTGAGTGTAAGGAGAAATTTGCCACTTCTAAGGACCCCACAGTCAGTCAGACTTTCATGTTGGACAGGGTGTTCAACCCTGAGGGGAAGGCTTTGCCACCAATGAGAGGATTCAAATACACTAGCTGGTCCCCCATGGGTTGTGATGCTAATGGCAGGTGCCTCTTGGCGGCTCTGACCATGGACAATCGCCTGACTGTCCAGGCCAACCTCAACAGACTGCAGTGGGTCCAGCTGGTTGATCTGACTGAGATTTATGGAGAACGTCTTAATGAGACTGGTTACAGGCTCTTTAAAAACGAGGCCCCAGGAGGGACTCTGGGGGATTTTGCTGAGTTTCAGAGGAGATACAGCATGCAGACACCGGTCCGAATGGAGTGGTCAGGCGTCTGCACCACACAGCAGGTGCGGCACAACAACGAGTGCCGGGACGTGGGCAGTGTGCTCCTGGCCGTCCTCTTCGAGAACGGCAACATTGCTGTGTGGCAGTTTCAGCTCCCGTTTGTAGGAAAGGAATCCATCTCTTCGTGCAACACAATTGAATCAGGAATCAGCTCTCCTAGCGTTTTGTTTTGGTGGGAATACGAGCACAGTAATCGGAAAATGAGTGGCCTTATTGTGGGGAGTGCATTTGGACCTGTAAAGATACTTCCTGTCAATGTCAAAGCAGTTAAAGGCTACTTCACTTTAAGGCAGCCTGTTGTCTTATGGAAAGAAATGGACCAGTTGCCCGTGCACAGCATTAAATGTGTGCCGCTGTATCACCCTTACCAGAAGTGCAGTTGTAGCTTAGTGGTGGCTGCAAGAGGATCCTATGTGTTCTGGTGTCTTCTTCTGATCTCCAAGGCAGGTCTGAATGTTCACAATTCCCACGTCACAGGCCTCCACTCACTGCCAATTGTCTCCATGACCGCAGATAAGCAGAATGGGACGGTGTATACTTGTTCCAGCGATGGGAAGGTGAGGCAGCTGATTCCCATTTTCACAGACGTCGCGTTAAAGTTTGAACACCAGTTGATTAAACTCTCAGACGTGTTTGGCTCAGTGAGGACACATGGGATAGCAGTGAGCCCCTGCGGTGCTTACCTGGCCGTCATCACCACCGAGGGCATGGTCAGCGGCCTCCATCCTGTTAACAAAAACTACCAGGTCCAGTTTGTCACTCTCAAAACCTTTGAAGAGGCAGCTGCTCAGCTCCTAGAATCTTCAGTTCAAAATCTCTTTAAACAGGTAGATTTAATAGACCTAGTACGCTGGAAGATTTTAAAAGATAAGCATATCCCTCAGTTTTTACAGGAAGCTTTGGAAAAAAAGATTGAAAGCAGTGGGGCCACCTATTTTTGGCGTTTCAAACTTTTCCTCCTGAGGATTTTATATCAGTCAATGCAGAAAACCCCTTCGGAGGCCTTATGGAAGCCCACCCATGAGGACTCGAAAATCTTAGTAGCAGACTCACCTGGGCTGGGCAATGCTGAGGATGACCAGCAAGAAGAAGGCTCTTCTTCCAAACAAGCGAGTAAGCAAGGCCTTCACGAGAGGAGCAAAGAAGGTGACCCAGAGGACCCCCCGGAGGACTCACTCACCCAGTGTGGCGATGGAGGCCGGGAGCCAATGGAAGAGAAGCTCCTTGAAATCCAAGGGAAGATTGAAGCTGTGGAAATGCACTTGACCAGGGAGCACATGAAGCGGGTGTTGGGGGAAGTGTACCTGCACACCTGGATCACAGAGAACACTGGCATCCCCACCAGGGGCCTCTGTAACTTCCTGATGTCAGATGAAGAGTGCGACGACAGAACAGCCCGGGTAGGTGTTTGTTAGCAAAAACGCCGGAACAGTGGGAACTCTGCTTGCTCTGTGACAGAGAAATGGACAACACTGAGGTCCTACAGCCCAGCTTTCGCTCTGATATTTTTAGGTAGTTGGTTGGCATGAGGTACAGGAGAATAGATAGGAAGCGCGGGTCAACACGGAGGTCAGTCATATCCCGTGCAGAATAGTTCACTCCTCCTCCCACTGTGGCCTTGGTTTGTGAGATGAGGCCCCCAGGCTGTGGATGAGCTGGAGGAGGCTGCCCGGGCGGAGTGGTGTGTGACCGCGCAGTCACCGCAGGTGGAGTGTGACACCGGGCTCCCTCCCCTGCCTGTTCGCAAGGGGCTGGGGGTGGGGGGGCGGGCAGGTGGCCAGAATCCATTCCAATTGAAAGGACTTGAGGGGGTCTTCAGACTTAGTCAAGAAGGGCATATAAGTAACCAGGGTTTTACTCATATGTTGTTGTTCACAAAAACTGGTCATAATCTTTATTTTGATGTTAGAGCAGTCTTAAGGTGTTATCCAGCATGTATTCACAGAATTTACGTTCCTTGACAGAACACCAGGGTTCCGAGCTTGGGGAAATGCTACATGCTGTACACTCCACTTAAAGATTCTCAGGGTTCTGAGAGCTCCTGCAGAAAGGAAACCGTTGTTAATCAGGGACCTGTCTTTGAGCTAACAGCTGCGAAAATCCTGGAGAACTTGTGTTTCAAGGAATATACTCTATACTAAAATAGTGAAAACTACAAAAGCCTGTGTTCCTTTTCACTTGAAAGATTGACATTAAGTACATCTTATTTAAAATATAAATTGAAAGCAGTAAATTCAGATCTCTTCATGCCTAATGTTAAACCATTGCATTTTTTAATTTTTTCTTATTTTG